AGTACATTTTCAATTTCATTGACTGATATTGGATTATTCAGAATTTTTATATCTTCTTGATTCAGTTTTGGTAATCCATATGTATCTAGAAATCTGTCCATTTCTTCTGTTTTCCATCTTGTTAGAGTACAGGTTCTTGAAGTAAGTGTTGATGATCTAGATTTCTTCCGGATCAGTTGTGATTTCACCCTTTTCATTCCTAATTGCATGAAATTGAGTTTTTTCTTTCTTATTTTCTTGATAAGGTTGGCTAAGTGTTTATCAATTTTATTTAATCTTTCAAAGAACCAACTCTTCAATTCATTGATTCTTTGTATTGTTTTCTTAGTCTTGACTGCATTAATTTCTGCTCTGATCTTTATAATTTTCTCCCTTGTAAGAGCTTTGGGTTTGACTTGTTCTTCTTTTTCTACATGTTTGAAGTTCAACATTAGGTTGTTTATTTGAGCTAGTTCTGCTTTCCTGATGTGAGAATTCATGCTATACATTTCCTTCTTAGGACTGCTTTCATTGTGACCTATAAGTTCCAGTACGTTGTATCAGCGTCATCAATTAATTCTAGATACTGTTTAATTTCTTCTTTAACCTGTGACCCATTTGTTATTCAGAAGGGTGTTAATTTCCATGTGTTTATGGAATTTTTGTGGTTTATTTTGCCATTGATTTCCAATTTCATTGCACTATGCTCTGATGATATGCATGAGATAATTTCAATTCCTTTGCATTTACTTAAGCATGTTCTATGAGCTAGTACTCAGTCTATTTTGGAGAATGTCCCATGTGCAGCTGAGAAGAATGTGTATTCTGATGTTGTGGGGTGGAACACTGTAGAAATCCACTAAGTCAGGTGCAAATTTCCAAAGATGAATGTCATTATATTGTATACCTAAAATGTACCAATGATTAGAATGAGTAATTGATAATGCAAAATAGGAAGAAAAGGTCCAAAGGGGTAGGGGTAGTGGGAGGGGCAGGGGAAAGGAAAGAAGGGAAAGGAAAAATGATGAGAAATGGAAAAAATGGAAATAAAGTCTTTGTAAATAGGGAAGGGTGGAGGGGGTGAAGGGAGGGCTAGGAATGGGGAAAAAATAAGAACCAAGATGCATTATGTAAAGGTACAATTCCCAATGAGAAATGTAATTGTGTTGTATACCTAAAATGTACCAATAATAGAATTTAACAAAAAACAAAACAAAACAAAACAAACAAACAAAAAGAAATCCACTAAGTCCATTTGTTCACAGGTTTGGTTCAGTTCTGATATTTCAGATTTTATTGTTGATTTTTTGTCTAGTTGATCTGTCTATTTGTGACAGTGGAGTATTAAGGTCTCCCGTTACAACTGTATTAGTGCTTATTAGATTTTTCATGTCCATTAATATCTGTTTACATAGTTGGGTGCACTAGTATTTGGTGCATATATATTTATGATTGCTATCTCTTCCTCTTGGATTGTTCCCTTAACAAGTATGTTGTGACCTTCTTTGTCTTTTTTTCATACCAGGGATTGAACTCAGGACCTTGTGCTTGCAAGGCAGGCGGCAGGCAGCACCACTGAGCTAAATCCCCGGCCTTCTTTGTCTCTTTTGATCTGTCTTGGCTTGAAGTTCACATTGTTTGCAAATAGAATAGCTACCCCTGCTTTTTTCCGGGTTCCTGTCACATGGAGAACTGTTTTCCATCCTTTGACTTTCAGTCTATGAATTTCTTTTCGAGTTAAATTTGTTTCTTGTAGTTTTCTCACTAGTACCAAGGCTTCCCTAGGAAATGTCTATTCCTCAGAGATATCTTCTGGGCATATATGATTCTTGGTCTTTGTGCCCGTCCCAAGATCCTACCTTCCCAATTCATTAAGGATGAGAAGTTCCTATTTGGCTCAGCACCCAGTCCTTTGCTATATAACCCTGCCAAGTCTGCAGCAGGATTAGTGCTGGGTTAGGGCTGAATTTGGCTTGGGGGCTGGGGCTGGTCTTCAGCCAACAGCTTTTTGGACATCCCTTGGTGCCCCACCCAAGTCTGCTGTGCTGCCCTCAGGCAGGGGCAGCCAAGGCCTCTGTCCCACCCCCACTAGCCCACTTCTATCCAGTCCAGCTGCTTGGGGATGGGGTGTAATTATTGCTCTCGAGGACACAGCCCAATGCTGCTTGGCTCCCCTTTAATCGCCTCTCCAGTGATTGAGTGTCTACCTCCCAAGGCTGTTTAAATACCACATGTATGTCTGGATCTCTCAAACCACTGGTTGTCACTCACTTCTTTCACCACCAACATGTGTGTTGGCAAAGTTTGCTGCCAGGCTGCAGTGTCCTCTGTGTGGAGGAAGGCAAAAGAGGCAAGGAGCCTGATGTCCCAAATCCATCCAGCCGCACTCTTTCAGCTGTCAGTTTCTCGGAGGCTTCCCAGTACAGAAGTTCTTGCTTGGCACACAGGTGGCACTGCTGCTGGCAGCCCCGTGGGCTGGTGTGCTGCTTTAGGAAGTCCTGTGCCTATGTTTTTTTTTATCTACAAGTCTCTTATTTCAGATTGATTTTGGCATCAGGATGCATGTCCCTCGCTTTCTTCCAATTACCTTTGTTTTTAGTTGATTTTTCTCTAAGTAGCTCCAACGTGGCTCCTCCTCTATTCAGCCATGTCAAATCTCTGGGGAACATTTCTGACCCAAACCATGACATGTCTTTCTAGATGGCCTCTTGTCACTCTCTGTGCCTTTCAAACTCTTCCAGAACCTGTGTTAAACTCCCTGTTGAACCACCTAGCTAGGGCCATTCTCCTGATCACACCCTGACAAACACAGCCAGGCTGTAGATAATTTGTAGTCAGTGTTTAATCCCATTGCTGTCCAGCCCTGATGGTGTACAATCTTCATTTAGCATCCACAGAAAGAAGAAAATGGAAGGAAGGGAGCTGTCAAAGATTGAACACAGTCCTGGCTAAATCCAAGCCCCTGTCATTTCCTCTGTACACTGCACAGATGAACACAACTGGAGCGAAACACATAGCCAGGCTGTCACTTTAAAGCCTCAGTCACTACCCTAACATGGGCCGTTCATGCTGCCCTCAGTCCTCCTGCAGCTCCCTGGACCATTCACGCTCCTCCTCCTAGGCACTGTTCCATTCCTGTCCTCGAAACCCACCCCCTAAGCCACTCCCTCCCAAGTCACTTTCAGATGGTGACCCTGCTTCTCGTTTCACTGAGGAATCAGAAGCAGTCAGAAGAGAACAACTTCTCATCATCCATCCCATCTCCACACCGCAGCCCTTTATTCTTCCTTCTGTCTGTGGGTGAACTGTCGACAGAGCAGGCAAGGAACAGCTCCTGCCTCTACTTCTTACATAGGACGCCCATTTCTTCTTGTCTACTCAGAAGCACTGATTGCTCCAACAGTTCTCCCTTCTCACTTCTGCATTATCTATCTTTTCTTTCTTTGCTATTGGATCTTTTGCTATCACCATACAAACACCGCATTGTTTTCTGTCACTTAAAAATTCTCTTGAGCTGGAGAGGTAGCTCAGTGGTAGAGTGTTTGCCAATCATGTCCAAGGCCTTGGGTTCAATCCCCAGCACTGTAGAAAAAAAAATTAAATAAGTAATAAAAATAAAAATTCTCTCTTGATTCTATTTTCCTCTCTAGCCACTGCCCCATTTCTACACTGTCCACTACTTCACTTCCTTGAAACTTGGAAACTCTTCAATAGTTTCTCTACTCTTTCTCTTCCCATGCTTTCTGCCACCACCCCCACTACACCAAAAGTGCTCTTGTCAAAGTCATCAATCACTTCCCACTGCTAAATGTAATGGTCAGTTCCTAGTCCCCGTCCTGCCTCATCTCGGCCCTGAGCACACCAGGCTCTTTCTCCTCTTCCCAGTCTCTAAATGTTGCAGCACCCAAGACTTGGTCTTTGGAGCCTTTCTCTTTTGTGCCTACACTTCATCATGTCTCATGACCATAAATTCCATCTTCATCTCTCTTGGTGCCCACATTTCTACCTCCAGTCTCAGCCTCCCCTTTGAGCTCCAGATCCACATATCTGTCTATTCAACACCTCTACTTAGATGTCTAGCAAGCTTCTCAAATTTAACAGATCCAAGGCTGAGCACCCAACACTTCTTACACTCAGTAAAATGGCAACTCCATTCCTCTACTTGCTCAAACCCAAAACCTTCGACCATCCTTTCTCTTTGGATGGGGATGGATCCTCTTCAGAATATATCCAGAAACTGACTAAGCAATCCCGACCCAGGCCCTGTCATATCAGGCCAAAAGTATTTCACTAGTCACCTATCTGGTCTCCCTACCCACTTCACTCTATTCTCAACACAGGCACCAGACAGAGCCTTTTTCTACACAAGCTCCCTAACTCATCACAAGCAAAGCTAAAGCGGTTACAGTGAGTACAAGCCCCAACAGTCTGGCCCTCTTACCCCTCTGATTTCCTCCCCTCACTGGTCCTTCCCCAGCTATACCTCTTAGCTTCCTTGATCACTCCAGGCCTGCTACTGCCTCAAGCCCTTGCATTTATGATTTCTTCTATCTTGGATGTTTTTCCCTTGAAGTCTTTCCTCTTTCCTTTGTGTTATTACTAAAATGTCACCTTCTCAAAATGGCTATCCCTTCCTACTTGGTTAAATTGCCTATTTCCCTGGCACCTCTCATCCTCTCATTTAATTTTCTTCTCAACACTTCCATCTGCTAAACTTTATATTTTACTAGCTTATTTTTCATAATGTCTTTCTCCACTAAAGTGCAAACTACATCTGCTCAGAGGATTTATCTGAATTCCACATGGCACATTATGTAGATACTCAGGAAGTACAGTTGAATGAATGCATGAGGCCAAAAAATTAAACTTCGCTGAATCCTGCCATACTTCTGGCCTGCGTATGGAAGTTTAAAAACAAAATGCCCTTATTGTGAAGTGAGATCAAGATGGGGTTTCTTCCTACACACGGAGCGAAAGCCAGCCTAACTAACACCCTTGTGTTATCTTGTTTAACCTGCACATTGACTCTGAGAGTTAGGTTTATTTTATTTACCAACCCGGTAAAGAGAGAACGTTACATGCTAGAGGTCACAAAGCTAGTGAGTTGCAAAGCCCAGATCCCCAGTCCATCCAACCAATGCCCAAAAGATGAGCTTTTGGTTACAGCAATTGGGGGAGACTCAACAGAAACAGCACCAGGACTGAGCTGAATCAGGACTACAGGAATGCAAGGCCGGGGGGCACCAAGAAGCTCCACACAAGAAATACTTGCTGTCAAAACACTCACGTATCAATGACAGAATTATCATCGCATTAACTGCTTTGTTTCATCTTGTTCCCTGCATTTCACAACTTGTCTTGAGGTTCTTGTTGCGTATCTGTTGTCTGTTTCTCCATTCTCTGCATCCCTGGTGCTTCCTATCATCTGCCTAAGGTGGAGGGCATAGGCCAGCCCGGCCCGATGGTCATGGGAACCAGCTCTGTCCTCAGGGTCTCTATGTCCAGAAAGACTGAGCCACTTTTCTTTGGGCTGTTAAAATTAGGAGACCTGGTCACCCTGCCTAGTGACCGACTGCCTGAGAGCTCCTGGGATGGCTCCGGAACTCAGCATCCGGGGCCAAGGCAGGAGTCCAGCAAGGAGGGACTTGCAGAAGAGGGCTTTGTATGGCCATGGCCGCGGCCTTCTCACAGGAGGCCGGGCGAGGCCCCCCGCCGCACTGAGGAATGGGCCCATGTCCTCTGAAGGCGGTCTCCCCCAAGCCCGGGTGGCCCGAGTCGGGATCTAGAGGTCGCTGCTAGAAACCTGGCTCTGGCTGGAGGAAGAAGCTGAGGAGGCCAGGCTGCCGGCCTCAGAGACAAGAGCTGTGTTTGTCCAGGAAAAGAAGTCAGACGTAGGCACGGAGGCCCCTGCCAGCTCCTCCCAGAAGGAGAGGGCTAGGGGAACACGCTGGAGAGGAAGCTGCTTCCCTAGGACTCCGCAAGCCTGGGGCCAGAAGCCAAGGCCAGGATCCAGCAGCCGCCCACAGGTAAGGCCTGCGCTGTGCTGCGGACGCACCCGGAGACTGTCACGGCTCCGACTCCCAGGCAGAAGTCTGCAGTATCGCGCTCCCGTGACTCAGTGCTGGGGTGCCACTAACCAGAGCTGAGGAGCCGTCCTGAGTCGGGGGGGGGGGGGGGGCAGAGAATCAATAGTGCCTTTGTGCTGGGTGGTTTCCTAGCAAAAAAGACTGGAGGGGGAAGGCGCGGGCCCGGAGCCTGGCCCCGCCCCGCCGACTGCGGATGCCGAGGGTAGCGAAGCTGGGGACCAGACGGCCAGGGATGGGGGCGGGGGGGGCTGCGCACTCCGAGAGGTGAATCTAAGGAGTCTAAGCAGACGCACCTCAGGTGTCCTCGGGTCAGCCGTGTCCGCCGGCTCCCAGGAGCAGAGGTGAGGCCTTTTTCCGGCCGGGAACAACTTGAGAAGGCCAGGAGCGCCTTGAGGGAGGCGCCAGAGGAGGCGGGAGGGGCGCGGAAGGAAGGATGGCTCGGTCGGTCCGGGAAGCTGTCGCCGGGGCATCCCGCACCGCGGAGGGAGGGAGTCCTCCGGACTCCAAACTAGATCGTGGAGAAGGGACAAAGTGTTTGGAGTGGGCTGGGAGAAGGGGGCGGGCCCCCCAGGACCACAGGGTCCAAGGGAGAGGACCCGGGATCTGGGTCCCCGTTTGTGACCGCAGGACCTCTAAGCCGCGCGGGTGTTGTTCCAGTCCTAACAGTAACTATGGGGGTGTTTGGGGCCCCTGACTCTCAGGTGGGGGGGGGGGGCCTTACCCTTAACGGGCAGTCTCTGTCCTAGGGTGCCGAGGCCTGCATGTGAAAATGTGACTCTCGCACCGTGCTCTATCCCACCTCGCCCCCCGAATCCCGGCGCGGCGGCGGGAGGCCCTCCGCATCACCCAGCCCCGCATCCTCCTTTCTGCGCACAGCCCAGCTCCGTCAGCCCTCCCGGCGGAGACGCTGGATTTGAACCCTGTCGGCCCCGCGGAGTCTGGCGTCTCATCCCCCCACCCCGCCACATGTGGCTCTTGGAAAAGGCCGGCTACAGGATGGGCAGCGCGGAGCCGGGGACCCGCCGGGCGCGCTGCAGGCTGTTCCTCCCCGCGCGCCGCGCCTGCCCCAACGTGCTCACCCCCGACCGCATCCCGCAGTTCTGCATCCCGCCGCGCCTCGCCAGCCCCGGCCGCGCCTCGCCCCCGGTCGCGCGCAGCGTCCCCCCGGCCTGCTCGCTGCCGCACCTGGCGGGACGCGAGGGCTGGGCCTTCCTGCCCGAGAGCCCGCACACGCGCCGCCGCGAGTCCCTGTTCCATGCGCCGCCGCCCAGCTCGACCCCGGGGCTGCCCCCCTCTCCGTCGCGGCTGCACGTCTCGGCCCCCGACCTGCGCCTCTGCCGCGCCCCGGACAGCGACGCGGCCTCCTCGCCCGACTCGTCGCCCTTCGGCTCCCCGCGGCAGGGCCCGGGCCGGCGCCTGTCGCACCCGCGGTGCCCGGAGGGGGCGCACTGGGCGGACGCCAGCCCCTGGGCGCCGCTCCGCTGCCGGTCGTCCCCGTCGCCCCCGCCGCCGCCGCCGCTCTTCCACCTGGACTTCCTGTGCCGCCAGCTGCGGCCCGCCAAGGAGAGCGTGCTGCGCCTCGGGCCGCGGGGCGGGCAGCTGCGCCTCTGCGCCGAGTTCCAGGCGGCGCCCGGGCAGCTGCGCCTGCGCCTCGTGAGCGCCGAGGGCCTGTCCCGCCCGCGGGTCGGCCCGGGCAGCGGCGGCGGCGGCTGCTGTGTGGTGCTGAGGCTGCAGCCCCGCGTCCGGCCGCGCGCCCAGCGGAGCCGCGTGGTCAAGTGCAGCGCCAACCCCATCTTCAACCAGGACTTCTTCTTCGACGGGCTGGGCCCGTCGGACCTGACCACCCGCAGCCTGAGGGCCAAGGTGCTGGACAGGGGCGCGGGGCTGCGCAGGGACGTGCTGCTGGGGGAGTGCGAGACGCCCCTCATTGCCCTGCTGCCGCCCTTGGGTGCGGGGCTGGGCCCTGGGTCCTCCCTGGCGCCGACGCATCTCAGCCTGTAGCCTAAGACAGCAGCTTCCTCCGGAGATCGCCAGCGCCCGCGCGCGCATGTGTGCGTTTTTGTTTTTTGTTTTGTACCAGGGTCGAACTCAGGACCTTGCGCTTGCGAGGCAGGCGCGGTGCCACTGAGCTACATCCCCAGCCCCTCCGTGTATGTGGGGGTTTTTGGGGGGGGGGGGTTCGTACTGGGGATCGAACTCAGGACCTTGCGCTTGCGAGGCAGGCGCCGGAACCACTGAGCTAAATCCTCGGCCCTCCGTGTATGTGTTTTTGCTAATAAAATGTTTGCATTCTGCGCTTTCTGTGCGGGCCACACCGGGCAAAGACGCTCTTTCAGGTTGTCTGAGTTGGAATAGATGTTAAGCAGTGCTTCTCTGATGGGGGAGCATCCGAGTAACCAGACATGAGAAGTCCTGGCAGAGTTTGTTAAACATGCTGGATCCTGGGCTCCGTCCCCAAGCGATGCTACTTCCAGAGGCCAGGGCTGGGTAGGTCCTACGTTCGTTCGTCCCTCAGGACCCCAAACGTCCAGGGAGCCCTTTAACCCCATCAAGAGCTCGGTAACGGAGGACGACAACGCAAGCCGCATTCCCCTAGCAGGCCCCTGGGGCTGCACTGGGGCTATTAGCTCTACTGCCCTCCCTACCCCTTACACTTACACCTGTCCTGAAGACAAGTGAAATTTGAGGGTCTTGGAAGTGAGTCAGGAGATGTCAGGCTAACGCACAGCGCCCTTTAACCATCCTGCCTCTCCCATGCTTGTTCTGCCCCGGGAGCAGTGTGGAGCCAAGAATCAGGCAGCATTGGGGTACTTAATGACTGAGATATTCGTCCAGGAATGGAGAGCTAGGCATGAAGAGTCCCCCCCAAAAGGCCTCCCTGACCAGGAGGAGGAAGGAGTGGAAGATGAATAAATAAATGTAGGTCAAATTTTGTTTACCTCCTACCTGAAGATCCCTGGCGTCAGCGGTGACATTCTGCTCTCTACTCCCACATTCCCAGGAACTGGTTCCTTTTGGCTCAGGTCCGGCATGGAGGAGGAGGGAGGGAAAATCTCCCTCCCCCTTGACTCTTTTTCATTTCCCCTGGTGCCAGCTGTGCACCAGGGCTAAGCCTGCTGGGTCCCAACAAAACCTCAGCACCATAGCATATGAACCTCTACACACACACACACACACACACACACACACACACACACACACACACACACACGCTACGCCTTCCATTCAGACCGCTCCTCCGTTCCTTCCCTGATTAGATCCCTACCCCTGAGCCCAAGGCGAGGGAGACTTTGCCCAAGGTGTCCACCAGGTGGTAGCATTGACCAAACAAACGTCCTTAAACGCTACAGGCTCTAGACTTGTACAAGAACTGTTGCCGCAGTTTGTCAGGACATTTGTTCCTCCCAGCAACTCTCATAAGGGTGCAAATACTCCTGTCATCCTTTGTGACCTCGGGCCTAATAAAGAGTAGAACTGGAACTTGACCCCAGAGAGTCTGGCTTGAGAATCTGGATTCCTTATCACCTCTAATATGTACAACTCAACTGCCAACTGCTGCGACTCTGCTCTCCACCAGGTAACTCTGGAAGGGTCCCAGTTCCTCAGGAAGATAGTTCTCTGGTCATTTCACAGCTGGCAGTGTGAACTTGCATGTGTGAATTCTGCGATGTCCATCCATAAGTCTAGCTCTATCCCTAGCCCTGTACTGTATTTTTGCTTCGGCCCCCAAATCCTCCCACAACAACCCTGAGTGAAGAACTGGGTTGGAAAGGATTTGGAAAAAAACTTCGTATTCCATAAGGAAAACTTAGGAAAATTCTATGAGGTGTCAGCAGTCAAAACAAACGTAGGGATCAGACAAGTTACAAAATCAACAGGTAAGAATGTACACAATGCTACCAGGTGATATAGAACAGAAAAACAAAGCAGGAAAGAGAACAGAAAAGGGAGTCAGACAAAGAGAAGCCAGATTATAGGAAAAAAAAAAAGAGAGGGAGGGAATAAAGCACTTTTTTTTTTTGGTACCGGGGATCAAACTCTGGACCTTGCGCTTGCGAGCCAGGCGGCAGAACCACTGATCTAAATCCCTGTCCCTAAGCACAGTTTTTTAACCACAGTACTTTGTACTGTACTGGTCCTGTACTTTACCCGACAGCCGTATCTCAGTAACCCCACTCCGTAAGGTAAGTGTGATTATTCCCAATTTACAAACGAGGAAACAGACCAGAGAGGTTAGGTAAACTTGCCTGAGAATCAGCCTTGGCTGCAGGGAAGGTTTCTGAAGATGGCTGTACCCAAAACCCAGCCTCACCCCTCGAGGGTCAGGGGAGGCTGGGAGAATTCACCTGGCATTCACAGTCTCAAGGTCAGGGTGCGTGCAAAGTCCGTGTTGCCAGCCAGAGTCAGCAGAAGGAAGTCCCGAGGACCCCTCCTGGGTGCAAACTCCTCAGCCCTGAAACACTGCCCCTTATACTGAAGTGGTCATGTTTCTGGGTTTGGGGTGTTGGAGTCTCCTTCGGGAGGTGGTTTCTAGGTTCTTTCTGTCCTGAACAAAGAATAGATCAAGACAAGCACAAACGGTAGCGAAGTTTTATTAAAGGTAGGAGAAGAAACAGGCTCTGCAGAGTGAGTGTTGGCCAAGTATAGGTAGGAAAGAGTGCCCCCACAGCCACAGCGAGAGAGCAAACATGGTGGCAAAAGCTCTGTGCAGACCATCCTGTTAGTATCACTCACACCCCAGGCCAACTGATGTCAAGCCCAGGCTGTCCGGTGGAAAACCTTCGGATTGGAAGAAGCCGAGGAGCAGGGCTCTGGGAACCATTTCTGCCCCACGTGCCCTGGGATTCTGTAATTAACAGGTCACGCCTACTTCCCCAGCCAGCTTTGCTGTGCCTGATCTCCGGTCTCAGTCCCAGAGGGCTGTGATTTGCCTCAGGGACTACAGCTAATACACAGCAGACCACATTCCTGTAACTCTTTCCACTCCAAACTCACTGCTCCCACTTTCCAACCCTCCCTGCTGTCTCTAAATCCATGTGGACTTAGACGGATAAGAGGCACAAGCAGAGTCACCAGGAAAGTTCAGGCCTGGGAGCTAGGGTCAGACTCGGCCCACAGTGGTCTTCTCCATAGGAATGGGCAGGGCCAAGGCTACAACGTTTATAGGCCTTCGCTGCTCCTTTTGTGATGGTCAGGCACCGGAGTGGTCACAAGAACCCAAAGAAGGTGGCCCCTAGTCACCAGATTAGGCTCCTGAAGAGGTGCTCTCCACCCCTTGGGCAGACTGCCCGTGCCCCACATATTTTGCCCCCAGGCCCTCCCTGGACGGGCAGGCTGAGTTTGCCTTGAGTGGTTTGCGTGGTTTAGGGGTGGGGAGGAAGGGAAAGAGAAGTTAGTGACTGCTCCCCAGTTCCACCACCACCACCTCCCACCCCTTCAAGCTGGAGATTCTCTAGGCTGATAAGGGGACTGGGCACGTGGGGGTGAAATGACTCTCCGATCCCTATCACCTCTTCCTTGCATAAGAATGTATTTGAGGAGGAAATAAGCACTGCCCTGCTGTGAAAAGAGGATTCTTCCAGAACAGGGGCTGTGATTTGCAGCAGGTGGGAGGAAAGAAAAAAAGGGAGCTCCCCAAAAGGATAACCAAGCTACCTTCTGACTGGAGAAGAAAGAACCCAAGCCAGTGGTGGGCATGCCTGTAATCCCAGCACCCTGGAGGCTGAGACAGGAGGATTGCCTTGAGTTTGAGGACAGTGTAGGATACATAGCGAGACTGGGGGGGGGGGGGGCGCGCACCATGCCATACATTCTTGGGGCAGAGAAGGGGTCAGGCCAATCCCCGGTCTCGGTGGGCCTCTTCCTCCCCACTCCACAGCATCAGGCAATGCACAGCTGGGAGAGGCAGCCACCCGCGCTGTGTGTGGGGTGGTATTGGGGGTGTGGAGAGCCCATCCGCAAGCTTTCTACGTACAGTGGGGGGTGGGGGGGTGGCAAGGGGCCTGGGACACTCAGAGTCACAAAGGAAGAGGGTCAAAAAAGTGAAAAAGGACCTGGGTGTGGAGCATCCCTGCTGTAATCTCAGCACTGGAGAGGCTGAGGCAGAAGGATCACCAGCGAGTTCATAGAGAGACCCTGCCTCCAAAAAAGAAAAAAAAGTGGAGAAAGAAAGCCGGGTGTACTGGTACATTCCTGTAATCCTGCACTCTGGGAGGCTGAGGCAGGAGGATTGCAAGTTCAAGCCCAGCTGGGGCAATTTAGCGACTTAGTGAGACCCTGTCTCAATAAAAAAAAAAAGGGCTAAACATAAATAAATAAATAATAATAAAAATTTTAAAAGGGCTGGGGATGCAGCTCAGTGTAAAGGCCCTGGGTTCAATCCCCAGCTCTGGAAGAGAGAGACAGACAGACAGACAGACAGACTAAAAGAAGGAATGGAGAAGAGGAATAGAGAAGAGAAAAGAAAAGAGCCACAGGGAGGCAGCGTCAGCAGAAGAGACCTAGAAAGAACACAGCTCCCCTGCCCTCTCCAGCTCTACCTGTCAGAGGAAGACGTGGAACCTGGCAGCTTGGCCTCACCTCCAAAGCTGCCTGAAGGCAGCGCCTCAGACGGACACCTCAATTACCGAGAAGCAGGAGAAGCAGGGCATAAGCAGAGCCTCAGAGGCCACCACACCTCCACTCTCAGACAGGGAGGGCCTCACAAGCTCCCTCCCTCTTCCTCACTCTCCCCCCTTGCCAGTCACCCCAGCAGTTGGAAAGTTCCTCTCCTCCTCTAACTTTTGTCCCTCAAACTACAGCCCCTAGGAGACTGGAAGCTACCTGGGCACTGAGATGAGGTGTCCAGGGTGGTGAACGTGCAGCTCCAGGGCGCAGGGCCTGGCTGCTCCACATCAGGTGCCACGTGCACCGGCTGGGGGACAGTGGGCGAGTCGCAGGGCCGCGGCCTGGCTGGCTCCTGCTCTGCTGTTTACCAGCTGGGAGAAAGAGCAGGGGGAGGTGCCAGGGAGCCTCCTGCTGCAGACTGGCCCCTGGCCAGCTGCCTGTTGGGTAACCAGGAGAGCCAGGCCCAGCTAATCAAATGCTGGGCCAAGGCCGGCTGGAGGGCGGTGGCCTCTGAGATGGGGGGCCTGGTGCCTTGGCCTCCCCAGCCCAGGGCAGGCTCCTCTCCCAACTGCTCCAGCGTGGCAGCTCCCTCCCCTCTCTGCTCTCCTTCCTCTCTTCTCCTCGGCCTCCTCACACTCCTCCCACCCTGCCCCTGGCCCCCAACTCACACAGACACCAGGCAGCCCAGGAGTTCTAGGAAGGGCGGCAGGGGCAGCAGCTAAGCAGGCAGCGTCCTCACGGAACAGAAGACCCCTGGCATCAACCTGACCTTCCCAGAGATGAGACAGAATCCCCCCAAACTTGTCTTCTCTTTGTGATTTCTCAGCTCCCCACTTGCCTTAATCTGGTAGAAGCCACTGGATTCTGAAGTCACAAAGACCTGGGTTCAAATCATAGCTCATCCACTTATGTCCCTGTGTAAGTCCTCGGCCAAGTATGTCATCATGTCTCTGAGGACCACTTGATTCATTGGTAACCCTGCAGTAATAGTGCTTCTCTGGGATGGTTTACATAAAGCGAAATCGTGATTCTCACAGAGGGCCTGCCAAAGGCCCTGGCACACAGTAGGTGACTAGTAAATGCTAGTTCCCTTCCTTGCACTGATCCTGTTTCCAAACCCTGGCCTGCTGGCCTCTCCCCACGTCCACTGGGTGCCAGGCCGCTCTGCCAGCCACTCCTTTCCCCTGCCTGCTGACGGGGCCAGGTGCTCCGTTCCTCCCCCCCCCTCCCCCGCCCTGCCCCCTGCCCTCCCGGGCAGCCAGGGCAGCAAGGACGGCACCCAGGGAGCTGCCCCATGGACAGGGCCCCACAGAGACACCACCGAGCCTCGAGGGGTAAGAGGCCCTGCGGCTGGCAGGCAGGTGGAAGGGACGACGGCCAGGAGGCTCAAAAGAGGGGACACTGCCGGACAAGTGAGGGGGAGGGATGCGCAGGTGGGAATGAGCCAGGATGAGTCTTGATGGAAGGGGAAGGAGAAGCAGGAGGAGGAGCCAGGAAGCGAGAAGGGGGGAACAGGAAAAGGGGGAAGAGTGAAGACGGGGGTGGGCACGGGAGCAGGGCGAGGCAGCCAGGTGAGGGAGGGATCGGACTGGCCTGGCCCTCTCGGGTCTGAGCGGCCCCTGGCAGGGGGCGGCCGCGCCACCTTCTGCTCCTTCCCCAGGGGAGGAGACCGGCCTGCTTCTAAGGAGCGGGGCGGGGGAGCAGCCACACCCCGGCACTGCCCATGCCCACGAGCCTGGCACTTTCCTCCCCGCAGGCCCAGCAGTGTGGGCTTTCATTCTGGCAGAGAACGTGGGGCACGGAGCCAAGGGGAGGGAGGGACCGAGTCGGGCAGTCCTTGGTCCTGCCCGCGGACTCACAGGGCAAGCCCCAGAGCCAGGTCCCAGCCTCCCGCTGGGTCCGCTGTGAGCACCGGGAAGCGCGCGCGCCGCAGCCGGGGCCCCGGGGAGGAGGGGCACCCCGTCCGGACCGCTGGGGTACCCGAGGCTGGAGAGGGTCGCGCGTCGGGAAGAAACTGGGCGGGGCCAGGCTGGGGGCCCACCCGGGGCAGACCTCCTCCCCTGCCCCAGCAGCGGGCCCTGAGGTGCAGCCCCTGCCGGGGGGATCGCAGCGGGGAAGACGCGCGCTGCTGGGGGCTGAGGCAAAAAGTAGCAGAGGAGCAGTCAGAGGTTAGCAGTCAGGGTTAGTGGCCGCGGGCTGTGTGGGACCAACAGGGGGCCGTCTGTGAGGAGCCGATCTGTGGGTGCTGGGGATGGACGGAGGGTGGCAGAGGCAGGCTCTTCCCGGGGACCCTACTGGGCATTTCGGAAGGCTGGGTGGGAGAAAGAACTACCCCTCCCAGACAGCGCTCCGCCCAGGCCTCCCAGCAGCTGCTCCTCAGAGGCCCCCATCCTGCCCGCCACCCACCTGTGCTCTCCGGCCTGGTCTTCACCCAGACAGCCGCAGGGCAGCGGCGGCGGCGGCGGGATTCTCCCCCTGCTGGCTGAAGGCCGAGAAGCGGTCAGGCAGGGGAAGCCTAAAAGGGGTCTCCGTTTGCAGCTGTCCCCGGCCTCTGCCTTCCAAACACCCTCTCCGCCCTCTGCCCAGCCCCGCGCCCCTGGAGGTCCCCGTTCTTCCAGGCAGATAGGAAGCCAAGAGATCTCATTCCCACAGAGCTTTAGCTCTGGGTGCAGAGTTTATGGTGCACCTCCAATGGGCACCTGGGAAGAGCAAGGTGAACGGACAGGACAGCCCGGCTCCGAGGAGCTCACCCTCTCCTCGAGCTGCAGTTGCGGCAGTTAGGTGATGTGGTAAGGGCCAGGAAATTCAGTGGAAGGTGCTGAGCGTGCACACCAGGGCAGGGGAGAGGGCACAGGTGGCTTCGCCAAAGAGACCTAGTCAGAGACCCGAGGGCTTGGGGAGAAGCTGGCCTGACCGGGATGTGGGCAGGAGGGGTGTTCCAGGCCCAAGAGCAGTGTGGGTGAGTCCTGTGGGCCACGAGGAGGAGCCGGGCACCTTGAGGACCTGGAGGAGGACCAGGATGGCTGCAGATCAGAGACAGAAGGAGAGGGCACTTCGAGGGTGGCCTGGCTTCTCCTCAGGTGCCAGGACCCACGGGGAAGGAGCAAGGTGAGACAGACAGGCCCTGTGAGTGGGGTGTCTCGGCTCCCTAGGTCTTCAACTTTGGGCCCCTCACGTGCTTTCTTCTCTTTACAGAGCTGCTGGCTTCAAAGAAGACCCACACCTGTGAGTAGGGGGGGGCAAGAATTGGTGCTGAGTGTGGTGACACGGAGAGGAGCCAGCTCGCTCTGCCGGGCCTGGGGAAGGAAAGGCACAGGAGTTGGACGCAGATGGCAGGGGTGATGGCAGCCTCCAGAGAGGTCCAGGAAAAGAAAGGAGGGGTGAGGACAAGGGCAAAGGGAGCTGGTAAAGAAGCCTGGAGAGGGGAAGGAAGCACTACAAAGAACCAAGCAGGGCCGGGACGCTGCTCTGCTGCTCTGTCGGGAAGGGAAGGAGAGGCGGAATCGGCGCCTCGGCAGGCAGCCGGCTGGGTTTGGTGTTCATCTCTGTGGGAGGTGTGAAGGCGGCAGGAAGGACTTCCCCGGGGACACAGCCAATTATGCACTCTCTGCAGGGCCTCTCAGAGCATCAGATCTGCTCTCCCTGTGGAGACGCTCCCCCACCCAGAACACGCGCCCTCTCCGCCTGTCCCCAAAGCCCGAACCCACAGGTACCACTGGGAAAGGCTCCCGTGGGCACTGGCCCTGGAGCTGATGACACCTTCCGGGGTAGGAGCCCGGACCCTTTCTCCGTGGCCCACCCTTGATTGCCTCCAGCCACTCCTGAGCACCCACTGCCATCCCTCACCCTGGCCCCAGAGCTGGGCACACAGAGGGTGGGGGAGACCTAAGAGGTGACGTCCCCCTGGGCGGGGTGGGGGGTGGGGAGCGTGCTTTGCTCAGCACAATCCTGGTCCATGCCTCCTCGCCTGTGCCTGCCTGCCGCTAGCCATAGCGCCCCGCAGAAATGCTGAGCAGGGCCCTGAGAGGAAAGCGGGTCAGAGTGACGCCTGTCTACATCCCCTGGGCGGGCGGGGAACAGGTGTGGAGAGTGAAAGGGGGAGTTTGGGAGCAGTAGGAACGGGGAGCGGCCAAGCCCCATTCCTGCCCTGATTCCTTCCCACTGAAACCAGGGCGGCAGCTGGGAGCCCCTCTGTAGCCCCCCGGCCTGGAAACCATCTCCCCACCTTCCTGTCCAGTGTCCTCTTGGGGATCCAGGCCAGTGAGAGAGGCTGGTGGCTGGCTGAGGAGCTGCTAGCCTTCCCACAGGATCAGAGAATCTAGGAAATATTAAGGCCTCCCGGGTCAAGAGGCTGAAAATGGCCCCTGAATTGAAACAGTCTCAAGAAAGAGGCCCCAGATGAGGAGCTCAGGGAAACCCCAGACAAGAGGGGGCCTGATTACTGAGGGACCCTAGAGAGAGAACCCCAAGGCTGAAGTACTCCACAGAGCACAGAGGGGACAAGAGGGCCTCTGAAACTGTTTGGCCCATCAGTAGGAACTTCCAGTCCAAGAAAATCTACAAAAAAACCTCCCTGCCTCCAGACTTCCCAAGCTGACACCTCCAAAAGCAGACTTGAACCAGAGAAAACTTCCTGTCCTTCAGGTGGGATCCAGGGCTAAGCTGCCTGGGCTCGAACCCGACTCTACCACTCCAGCTGTGTGACCTTGAGCAAGTTACTTAAGCTCTCTGGCCTCACTTTCCTGTTCTCTGAAATGCGGACAGTGGTAGCCACCTCATGTAGTATTCTGTGAGGATTAGGTGGTCCACATAAGCTATTTTAGAACCATTTCTGCACATACTAAGCACTATTAAGACCTCGAGTGGGACAATAATTGCGGTGATGATTACCATTATGTGCATTCTGATTTTGGCAGTCCTGCTCCTATGGAAATTTTGAATGGATCCTGCAGATTCCGTGTATTCGCCCGATGATCATTACAGCAGCTATTATTTTCAGGTTTCCCTAAGGCAGGGGTATCCATCATCTCAGTGGGGAGGAGAGAGAGAGAGAGAGAGAGAGAGAGAGAGTGTGTGGTCGGCAGCCTCCCGGAGTAGTGCCCCTGGGCAGGACTGCCAGCAGCCTAGATCTCAGGTGGCACTTGTCACCACCACCCAGGCGGACATCCTGTGACTTACCTTGGAAACACCCCTGTCCTTGGAGTCACCTGGCAAAGAGAGTCAGGCTTGAGGTCCTCAGGGACAGGAGAGGAGCCTGGCCCCAGACTCTCGAGAGCTCCACTTGGGCTCCCCACCTAGAACTCCCCTGGCAAGTGGAAACAGCTCTGACCGCGTGTGGCTGTCGCCTGTGGTTTTGGAATTTTCCAACGCCCCCTATGATTGGCTGCCCCACCCCTCACACCCAGCCCCAGGTCCAGATTGGCCACGTGGGGCGCCTGTCATCCTACCAGCTGCACCCCTGGGGGGCGGGGGGCTGTTATTTGGCCACCTGTGTGGTGCAGAGCTTAAACCCCCCCTGCCCAGAAGCTCGGGGGAGAGCTAGGTGCAGAGCTTCAGGCTGAGCACCACTGAGAGGGACTGGCCCCCGCCTCTGCTACCAGCTGTGCCCATCCCAGGACCACCCTGCTGAGGAGGACAGGAAGCCAAGGCTGGCAAGGCCGAGGCTTAGCCATGAGAAGTAAGTGCATGGGTCACCAGCCCAGGGAAGCCTGGGTCTGTCCTCATCCCTGCGCCCTGGGGTAGGAGGGGTGTCTTGGGAACAGTGTGAACGGTGCTGAGGGCTCCTCCCTGGCAGGGTGTGTACCGGTCAAGGTCAAGATCTGTTAGGAAATGGCTGGAGCAGATGGGGACTCTCACTGCCCAGGCGTTCAGCAGCGGAGATGAAAGAGCTGTTGAGGAACTTCTTGGTCATGAGTACTGGGAAAAATGTCCAAGAGTGCCAAAGAAGGGACTGAGACCCAAGGAGGGGAGTGCTCCACCCAGGACCACACACAGCTGGCAGCTGGCGGAGGTCAGTTAGTCTTTACCGCGGCCTGAACCTGCTCTCTTGGTTCCTAGCAAAGCATTTCCCTCGTGCCTCCAGCCTGCTTGTGTGGGGGCAAAAAAGGAGGCCCAAGGGGCTGCTGGCAGGACAGCAAGAGCAAACTGAGGTCTGCAGAAGCAGAGGTCACAACCCCAGCACCTAGGCCTCTGAGTGTCATGCTTTCTACCCACCAGAGACCGAAGGACTAACTGTAATCCAACCAGGAGCCGCGCGCGCACACACGTGCGTGTGCGTGCGTGTGTGTGTGTGTGTGTGTGTGTGTGTCTGTGTGTGCTCTTCCAGGTTTAGTCACCCATTTGATGGGGGGTTGGGAAAGATGTTAAGGCATTGCAAATGGGTGCAGAAAGCCCTGGGCCTCCCTCCCTGGCCTGGAGCCATGGCCAACAGCTTTGGGCAGATGTCTGGGTCCTGTGTCTTCCACATGAGCAGGGGTGGCCGATCAGACAGTGCCCTGTGCTCAGGCAGGGGAAGCCAGAGAGCCTGTCCGAGTACAGGGCGGAGGAGGAAAAGGGAAGCCCGTGTCCCTGTGGCCTGAGGCAGCCCCGGCTTTGACCTGGGGTCTTCCCACAAGTAGGAAGGTCGTGTGGGGTCCTGGAAAGACCCACGAACTCAGCCCAACGACCAGTTCTGGTGCCATTTGTCACTGCCCCACCCTGTGAAGCGGCCAAGTCACAGGCCCTGGTCTCCCACAAAAAAGGGGAGCTAAATCTCCAAAGAAAAGAAAACCAGCTAAGGAGAGTTTCCCAGACTAGGATCAAGGAGAGAGGCCTGGTCCCCGAGGGGAGGGAACCAGGGCAAGAAAGGAGCTCCACTTCCAGGACAGGGACCTGCAGTCCTACCCACCAGCCGATGGGCAGAAGGGGCAGGGGGCCGAGCAGAGCTTCTCCCCATTAGAGCAAAGGCCTTCCTAGAAAATGACCCCTACTTAGCACAGCAACGTGGGGGGCCACAGCCGGGGACTTCCAGCCAATTGGGCTGAAGGGGACACTTGGCAACTCGGCATTATACCCGCCTCCCGCCATGCACATGGCTCACTCAGACCAGTAGGCAGGAGAAGGGGGGGTCTCCTTCCACCTGGGCGTCTGTGCTACTTTTCTTCTCACCTGGACATTTCTGGATATCTCATTGCTCCAAGTTTTCTAACCCTGGTGAGCGCCAGCCACCACCAGCTGGGGTGTCAGAGCACACAGGGGTCTGGGACTGTGACACATCCCAAGGCCAAGGGCCAGACACACCAGGAGCAGAAACAGCCCGAGAAATAGAGAGGCAGAGCCAGGCACAGTGGTACACACCTGTTGTCCCAGATGCTTGGTAGGCTGAGGCAGGAGGATCTCAAGTTTAGGTGCAGCCTGGGCAACTTAGTGAGACTTAAAAAATTAAAAAGAGCTAAGGAATGTAATGTAATGGTAGAGTGTCACTACGTTCAATCCCTAGCACTAAAAAGAAAGGTATGGGGGCAGGGACTAAACTCAAAGGACAGATGTGTGAAACACACAGAGAGGGAGAGGATGTTGTCTAGACGGAGCTGGAGATGAATAAATACCAGGAGAATCAGAACCATGGAAGAGTGAAGCCCAGAGACCACTGGAGTGCAGAACACAAGCCATAGGCAGAGGGAGAGAAGAGGTGATGCCTACGGAGTCCGCCAGGAGAGGGGGTGACCAGTCACCTCAGCCCAGGGGCATGGCCAGCGTGGAAGCCAGAGGCACAGGGCCGGCAGGAAGACTGGCTGGGAGGCGGGCGGCCTGGGGGTGTGAGGGCACACGCCTGTCTGCTGTCCCTGATCTCCCTTCTGCTCCTCTCTCTTTCCTTCCTTCCCATTCCTAGCAGAAATCCCAAATGCCTGGGCCCAAGGTGCTGGCAGGTGGACTCTTCGCCGGTTCCACCCCAGTGGAAATATGTGTGCAGTGTTGCTGCCCCACCAGGGGCTCGCGCTCCCATCCCCAGCTCTGTGCGGCTGACTGAAACCAAGGAGGGACAGGGGCTTCCCCACACTTCCTCTCCACGGGAGGCTCCTGCAGCCTCACCCCGGGCGCCCAGCGGCCAGTCCCTTCTGAGACCTAACCTGCACCCCACTCCTCCTGCTGCTGCTGAAACACAGCCCCGGCCCTCCAAGGCCCAGCCGGAAGGGAAAGGTCATTTTTCAGATGGGCCAAGGACAGGGCAGGGCCTCAGAGCCAGGGTCTTCCTGGGCCTTTGGCCTTGGGGAACAGCAGAGGCTCAGGCTCGGGGAGGAAGGAAGGCGCAGGGGAGGCTGCAGCTGTGACGTCCGTCCGTCTGGGCTCCCACTCCTCAGCGCTTCCTCCTGGTGATTCATCCCCTCCCCCATCACTGGTTGTTTTCCCCGGGTTCTTTTGTTTCCTCTCCTTTCCTCTGTCCCAGACTGCGCGGGTGGCGGGGGCAGCAGGAGGGGGTTTCGGGTGCTGCCTGTCTTTCTGGCTCTTCAAAACCCCAGACTCTCCCTCGCCTACCTGAGTTCTAGCTTCACTGGTTTCCCAGCTCTGGGATCTGGGTGTATCAGCAGAAAATTCTCATGGGGCTGTGGGGAGACCCTGCCCGGGCCTGGGTAGCAGTGCCCACCAGCCAGCCCCGAGGAGCCCCGCACCCCACCCAGCCCGCCCTCTCCCGGGCTCTGTGGTGGCGCCCACCACCTCGGTTCCCAGCTTTGCAGAAGCTGGGGGAACTGAGAGCAAGAAAGGAGGGAGGCTGGTGGCAGGATGGGGACCCCTGGCTGGAGCTGTGGTCTCAGTGGGAAGGGGAAGGGAAGGGCCTAAGCTAAGAAAAGACCTGCCCTCCTCTTTCCCATCCATTCATTCATTCATTCATTTCTGCAAAGATAGGCCTACCAAGAGGTGAGAAACCCAGGCCACACACTGCAGGAGCTGCGGTCTTCCAGAGCAGTGTTGGAATGCACGAGTTGGCTGACCTTGTTTTTTTAATTTTTTGAGACAGGGTCTCGCTATGCAGCTGAGGCTGTCCTTGAACTACATAGCCCAGGCTGGCCTCGAACTCGAGGCAATCCTCCTGCCTCAGCCTCCCGAGCGCTGGGATCACAGGCGTGCGCCACCACTCCCGGCTTGCCTTGGCCTTAGAGAAATGGGTAAAGGTAGAAGGGGACTGGGACCACAAAGGAAAATTTGCAGCAGAGAGAACCTCTCTTTAGATCTTCTCTGAGACCCGAGTCCTGGCTTTGGTTCTGTGAGTTTCCCCCCAAACTCCTTGCTAGCCTGCCACGCTCGCTCACATCTACACTTTCCCCTGCAGCCAGTGAATGGCCTTGCCCCTTGCCTGTTCCTGGTGCGTGTGGGCACCCATTCTCATAGGCACACAGCTCAATGGCCAAGGGCGTTGGCTCTGGAGCTACTGACACCCAGCTTCCAACTCCACTCCGACCTCTTCCACAAGCCTCTTACTATCTCCAGCCTCAGGATGCCCATCTGTGGGATGGGGACAACCCTGCTGGTACCTGCTTCATAAGGCTGTGATCACACAGTGGGAACACAGCTCAGGGGCGGGCACTTACCGCCCTACCATGTGAAAGGCATTGGGTTCAATCTTCAATATCGCAAAAACTAATGAAAAATGTATCTGAAGCCTGGCGCGGGGTAAGAGTGCAGCCAATGCGCGTGCCTGTGGTCGTGACTGCTTCTCCTACAGTTATCTACCGGAGAGCAAGGAGCGCTCCAGACTGGCAGGGCCTCAGGAGGGGAGGAGGACCCCGGAGCCCCTCTGCCTGATGGTTCTGTACCCCTGAGTGGCACGGAGGAGCGAGACCCCCCGGCCTGCAGCCCCTCCTCCACCCCACCACTTCCTCTCTGGCACAGGGCACCTGGCCAGGCCCCGCGGGCTCTGGATACATTCAGAAAGCGCTATCAATGAATCTCACAGCTGCAGAGGGTGCCATTAGAGGGGCTGGAGGCAGGAAAGGTTGGCCTCTACCGTATTTCTCCTCATAGCAGGCTCTAGGAGGAGGCCCATATGAAGCCTCCAGTGTCTGAAGCGGTCCAGGGAAGATGCGTTTTCTTCTTTCTAGGACTGCATCAGAATGAAGGTTTAGAGATCACCTGGATGGCAGGGAAAAGACAAGAATGAGCTGGGCGAGCTGAGTGTGCGGCTCAGTGGGAGATGGTGTGCTTAGTGCGTATAAGGCTTGGGGTTCAATTAAGTCAGCCATAGTGACACCACCTGTAATCCCAGCACTCTGGGAGGCCAAGGCAGGAGGATCTCAAGTTCAAGCCCAGCCTGAGAAACTTACAAGATCCTGTATCAAAATAAAAAATAAAAAAGGAGCAGCCTGACACAGAAGCAGGCAGAGAGCCCGAATTCTTGCTACTCAAAGTGTAGGCTGACTACCAGGAAGCTCAGGCATCACCTGGGAACCTATAAAAATGCAGATTCTCGGGCCGCACCTCAGATTTCCTGAAGAGGGGCCCGCATTTTGTTCTGCTGTTCGGTGTTGGGAATCCAACAGGGCCTCGTGTAGACTCAGCAAGCGCCGTCTTACTGAACTGTGCCCCACGCCCCTGGAGCTACATTTCCACAAGCTCCTCGGGCCATCTTGTCCAAGATGAGGCTAGAGTCATCTTGTGAGTGCGCGATTTCAGGAAGCAACACACACACCTCTCCTTTGGGACAGTGGAATTGGCGGCTCTTCTCAGTCAGCCTGGGGAGAGAGCTACGGGGAGGGTTTCAGTGAGACAGGACAGGCGAAGGCACGTGAGGCACACATGTCCTCCCGAGGGAGGGAGCAGGCCTCGATGGAAGCTCAGCTCCTGACCTTTGCTTGGCTCTAGTTCCTGGCACCAGCAGGGCCTGAGATGTTAAGTTCCTGGCAGGCCGGGCTCCCAGGCAACAGTCTGAGTAATCCTGTGATTACTCAGCTCCCTCTCTCTGGCTGGGTTCCCAGCATTTGCGGCCCGGCTGGCTCACAGGGGTAAGTCTCCCAGGGAAGGGACCGGGTGTTCTCAGCTCTGCAGCGGGGCCCTGCCCTCCTCCCCAGCCCCTCCTCCACAAGTCACACACTCACAGGCACCGGTACTTTCTCTTTGAGGTTTGGGGTGATGACAGTCAAGGGGGTGCAGGTGGCACGGAAGGAGGGAGCAGTAGAACAAGTGGCCTGAGAGTGCTGGGGAATGGGCACCGGGCCAAGACACAAGCACGGGCTGTCCCGTGTTTCTGTGGCTGTCTCTGCACCTCCAGGTCTGCTGGCTGTCTCCCACCCCTAACCTTGAAGCCTCTCCACCTCAGAGAGGGTAGAGCAGTGATGGCGAAGCCTTGAGAGGTCTCAGTGACACAAACAGCCTGCTGCGGCACGGCATGAGTGTCAGAGGTTCGCCGCCCCTGGGCCTCAGGCCCTGACCCTCAGAGCCGCTGACTCTGCATGCCTGCCTCGCGCCATATCTCCGCCTCGAGCTGTGGCCGGGGACAGTGGTGGAGGGCTTGGCCCGGTGTCTGGGGTGTGGGCCTCTGGTATCCCCCAAGTACAGGTATTCCTGAAGGGGTCTTCGGCTGGCCACATCTTCCTACGAGTAGGGCAGAGCCATGGTGATACTGTGGTAAGGTTCTGAGGGCCAGGACAAGCAGCGGGTCAGGTACGGGGCAGGGAGAGGTGTGTGGGGTCAGCCATGTGGTCAGTGCACACACGCACGCGGATGTGGCTCTTGGAGAAGGGAAGAGGCAGGGAGGCCTGTGGTTCGCTGCTGGCTCAGAGCCTGAGTTCCCACCGTGGCTTGGCCTAATCTCTCTCCTGCTTGCTTTTTCGGGTGACCCATGTTGGTTTCCCCCCTCTCTGGTCTTAGGCCCACTGCAGAGAGCGATACCACAGTTTTGGGGCGGGTGCCAGGCTGGGGCAGAATCTGTGGGGCCCCCGGGCAGCCCACCAGGCCCGCAGGCTCCTCTGCTGTGCCTCAGTCAGCAGTAACTGGCACATGCAGCGCGCGGCCCTCCACGGTGACGTCACGTGACCACTCTGCTACCTACGGTCCCCCGGGCAGGCGGCGGTATTTTTATCCTCACCTCATTGCCAAGGGAACTGAGGCCCGGGCAGAATGTGGGAGGCAAGCAGTGCCAGGGCCCGCACACACTCCGCCTCTCTTCCAGCACCAGGCCCCCTCTGCGCTCCTCCCATCTTTGCATTGAAATCTGCTCGTACTTCCTGGGAAGAATCTGAAAGGCTCGCTTGCCACCTGGTCCTGAGGTGACCACGGCTCCCACTGTGGGTGCTGGGCAGCAAGAGTGCCTGCATGTGGGAGAAGGATTGGGGTCTGGTAGAGGGGTGTCAGACGTGCGAGCACCCTGCCCCGCCCCCCAGGAGCCAGCTCCCGACTCTGACTCGGCTCTAGACTGGCCAGAGAGGATGCTGCTTTGAGGACGGTGCAAACAGAAATGTCAGGACGGTGGGCAGCCCTTGGGCTCCCTGTCCACTTTACTTGCACTGGCAAGGGTCAGGCCTGGGGCTGGAGGTGAGCTCACAGGACTGCGGGTTTGCCTCCAGCGGGCACCTCCTCCGCCCCAAGGTGGGACACCTGTCACAGAGGAGAAGCAGCTTTGGCCCTTGGCCATTTTTCTGGCCTGCTCCACCCCAGCCCACCCACTCCAAGCGGAAGCCAGCAGGTCTGTGACAGTGGAAAGGAGACCCATGTGTCCTTGGAAGTGCTGAAAACACCTGCAGGAGTCAGGGCCCCCAAGCTTTGCCTAGCTGCCTTTTGAGGACAGGCTGGGAGAAGTCCTGCTGATCACTTGAAACTCAGCAAAGAGCCGTGGGCATTGACAGGGCCATATGCACAGAGCAGCATTGGGGACAGCCCAGGGGAATGCGGCAGCAGACCCAGCTATGTGCACTGGACCGTCCGGCCTCCCTTCACCCATCCAGTGACCGGGTGATGAGGCAGTCTCTAGCCTCAGCCAGCTCAGCGGCCAGGGTCTGTGCTCACACAGGTGGACACAGATGCCCTCACCCTCTCCTTGCTGGGACCACGGGCCCTGGAACCCTGCCTGCTTCTCTCCCTGGGCTCGGACACCCTTCTTCCAAGCTCCCTGCACCCGCTCCATGCCCATCGCCTCTGGGCTCCTGGTCTCCGCAGCCCCTGGCCGAGCTGTCACTGTCTGGGTGAGGACAGCTGGAATCCCCGCCTCACCCCCGTGGTCTCCTGCCTGGTGTACCACATCTTCCTACCATGCCCCTCACTCATGCCCAGCCCCAGAGGGGGAGGGAGGCACAAAGGAAGCCCCAGGGCGGGAAGCAGGTGTCAGGCAGCGGGGACTCCTGCGGCCCAGTGCAGGAGGGGGCAACTGGAGCTGTTCAACTTGCAGGGCTGAGCAGGTGGCCTCCCTGCAGCTGTTCTCTTTGCCTCCATAAAGCTGGTACAACTCCTGGTTGCCCCTCCTCTGTGAACAGGCGCAGCTCCTGAGAGCCTTCGCTGAGGAGCACTTGCCACTCCACTTCTCCTTCCATTTTGCAGGAGGGAAACAGCAAGAGGGAGCTGGCTGGAGGAGCTGGGGACACGCCAGGCCCCTGTGTCTGCAGCCCAGGTGTGTGGCGGTGGACCCTGGAAAAGCCTCCGGGCCAACCTACTTCTCTTCTCTCTTCCAGCACAAATTGAAGTGATCCCTTGCAAAATCTGTGGGGACAAGTCATCTGGGATCCACTACGGGGTTATCACCTGTGAGGGGTGCAAGGTGAGTTGTAGAAATATGTTTGTGCATGCACGTGTGGGCACACACATGCACACGCACACGCACACACACACATGCTGTCTTCGGCGTGGAGGACAAGGCCCTCGTGGTCTCCAGATACAGTGAGGGAGCTGTCCAGATGGTGCCTCCATGGAGTCCCTGAGCACCCAAGAGTCCCTCTTCCTGAGCTGGGGAAGTAATTGCAGGACAAACTACAAGGACAGAAAGAAATGGAGGCGAGAAAACGGAGGGTGGTCTGGAGGATGTGGCGAAGCTGGGGCCGGCACTTGTGGACAGAGCCAGGCCTGGCAGTCTCAGTTCCCCCATACCGGCCTTCCCCAGGGCTTCTTCCGCCGGAGCCAGCAGTGTAATGTGGCCTACTCCTGCACGCGGCAGCAGAACTGCCCCATCGACCGCACCAGCCGCAACCGATGCCAGCACTGCCGCCTGCAGAAATGCCTGGCACTGGGCATGTCCCGAGACGGTGAGGCCGAGCGGGCAGCCCCCGGGGGTTCCCGGGAGTGTCCAGGGCTCAGCCTCATCTGCTGTGCCGGATGAGAGCTAGCCTGCCAATCCGTCCCTTGCCACTCGTCTGGACAGCTGCCTGTCACTTCTCTTTGGGAATCGCTGCCTCAGAGCTCTTTGGCGTCCCAAGGCTCTGCCCCAACAAACCTTTCCCCAAGCACCCAGCCCTGTCACCTCTTCTTCCATGGGATGAATTCTTCTCCCCCTGCCCTGCCTCTGACCCAGCTCCCCTCGAGTCCCACATCTTTGCCTCCTGATCCATCACCGTAGTTCAGCTGCATCTCCCTCCCTGGCCCCCCATTCCCATCCTAGGACCCAGGTGGTGGCCAGGAATGGGACCCAATTGCCCGAGAACCTGCGGCAGGCAGGGGAGTGTGGGGCTGTGTTCCTGGTGCCTCATTCGCCCTCCTCACCCCCCCCTCCTCACCGGTCCCCCCACTCCCACCACAGAAGGAGCTGGGGTGGGAGGAGGTGATGAGGAGCCAGAAGGAGCCTGTCAGCACTTTTCAGTGCTCAAAATAACAAACCGAAAGGAAACATGCAGGGGTACCAGGGGCAGGCGGGGCGAGGGGCTGTGCCCCCACACCTGGGAGGGCTGGCGGGGGGAGCAAAAGGCAGGAAAGAGAGAGCAGAAGAGGATGTCAGAAGCCAGCCACGGAGCCTGGGTTGGGCTGTGGTGGGTAATCTAGGTCACCGGGGAGCCTGCAGCCTGACCACAGGGAGACCTGTGTTCTCAGCCCTTCTCTTCCTCTGGCCCTCCCAGGCAGGCGTGCCGACCCCAATATAGCCCGAGGCCCTCCTCTGCCTGGTGTCCCCAAGCCCCAGTCTCGGGAGGTCAGAATTCTGGGATTCTGCCTCTATCCGAAGCTGGTTTGGAACCTAGATAGCGCTCAGGAGACAGAAATGGCGGCCGGACACATCCCAATGGGAAAGAGAATGAGGGCTGGGAGGAGACTTGAGCCTAAGTTCCCAAAACCAGGGAGGTGGTTCTGGGGCAAAGATGGAATCTGGGCTTGGGGCAGGGAAGGCAGGTGTGTCCCGCACTGACCCACGTGCCTGTTGACCCTGCTCTGGATCCTGTGCTGCCCCCTAAACTCCTGACCCCTGGGCCTCCTGCAGCTGTCAAGTTCGGCCGCATGTCCAAGAAGCAGAGGGACAGCCTGCACGCGGAGGTGCAGAAGCAACTACAGCAGCAGCAGCTGCAGTTGCAACGGGAGCAAGCAGCCAAGACCCCTCCCGCAAGGGCCCACGGAGCAGACGCCCTCACCTACACCTTGGGGCTCCCTGACGGGCAGCTGCCCCTGGGCTCCTCGCCTGACCTGCCCGAGGCCTCTGCCTGTCCCCCTGGCCTCCTGAGGGCCTCAGGCTCTGGGCTATCCTATTCAAACACCTCGGCCAAAGCAGAGCTCAGCGGGCCCCCCTGCCACCTCAAGTACAGCCCCGAGCAGGGCAAGGCAGAGGGGGCAGAGAGAGCCTGCGGCGAGGGCAGCCAGCTTGCCCCTGGCAGGTGTGGACTTCATTTTGGGGGACCCAGGCATCCTGGGCTTGGGCAACCAGGACAGGGCCCGGACAATTACTGCAGCCCCAGTTTCTGCAGCAGCCCAGAGGCACCATACGCCTGCCTGAAAGAGACTGGTGAGCCGCTGGGGAGGCCGAGGGGGCGGTGAGCATGAGGGAGGAGATCCCGCTAGCACCCCATCCCTGCTGACTAAACACGATCCCCAGGAGTTGCGGGGACCCAGACAAGGGGCTGGAGGAGGCAGAGTGGGGGGCAGGCAGAGAGGTGTCCTCATACGGGGAGGGGAAGGGTCTGCCTGAGACCAAGCAGTGCCTCCCCCGGCCCCAGAGCACCTGGTGCAGAACGTTTGCAAGTCCTACAGAGAGACCTGTCAGCTGCGACTGGAGGACCTGCTTCGGCAGCGCACCAACCTCTTCTCCCGAGAGGAGGTGACCAGCTACCAGAGGAAGGTAAACCGGGGGTGCAGGACGGAGGGCCCGCCACCGCTGATATGCTTCGGTGTCTGTGTGTGTGTCTACAGCCTAACAGATGGGTGAAAACTGTTCCTTAGGCCTTGCCTATTAAATTGCTGCCCAGCCTTCAACCTGTCTTGGTATACCCTCTCTCCTCTACCAGTACCAACCATGATCAGAGTCCCAGCAACTGTTGGTGAAACGCCTTTTCTCCACCAGGCATTGTGCTAAATGCCACACATAGATTACTCTCAACTCTTTCAACAACCAAACTGTAAGGGTGACACTTATTCCTGTTTTTTAAAAAAATTGGTGGAGGGGTAATGGGGGTCAAACCCAGGGCCTCATGCATGCAAGGCAAATGTTCTCCTGCTGAGCTACATTCTCCAGCCCTTATTCCTTTTTTATTTTTTTTTCCAGTATTGGGGACTGAACCCGGGACCTTCCCAGTAAGCAACATCCTCAGCCTTTTTTTTTTTTTTTTGTGGTACCAGGGGTGGAACTCAGGACCTTGTGCTTGCGAGGCAGGCACAGCACCACTGAGCTAAATCCCCGGCCCCCCAGCCTTTTATTTTATTTTATTTTGTTTATTTTTTTGGTACTGGGGATCGAACTCGGGTCCTTGCGCTTGCAAGGCAGGTGGCAGAACCACTGAGCTAAATCCCCAGCCTTTTATTTTTAATGTTTTATTTTGAGGCAGGGTTTTGCTAAGTTGCTAAATTGCCCAGGCTTGGCTGAAGCTTGCAATCCTCCTGCCTCAGCCTCCCAGAGTGCTGGGATTATAGGAATACATCACCATACTGGCTCTTTATTCCTATGGGGGGGGGGTACCAGGGACCTTGCGCTTGTGAGGCAGGCAGCAGCACCACTGAGCTAAATCCCCAGCACTCTTTATTCCTATTTTTAATAATTGGGAAACTGAGCTCAGAGGGGTTCATAGACATGCTCAAGGTCACACAGATGTGGAGTCAAAGTGAAATTCAGGTCCACCAGGCCCCAAGGTTTATGCTGTGTCTTCTGTCACACTCTGACAACCCACACACACACACACACACACACACACACACACACACACACACACACATTTGGCATTTCCCATGGCTTCTCTAGGTTATTAAGACATTGGGCATATCCCTTTTCGGGGAGGGTGGCACCCACCTGTAATCCCAGTTGCTTAGGGGGCTGAGGTAGGAAGATAGCAAGTTCTAGGCCAGCCTGGGCAACTTAGCAAGAACTTATCTCAAAATAAAATTAAAAAGTGTGGGGGTGTCGCTCAGCACTCACTGAGTTCAATCCCCAGTATAAAAAATAATAATAATGATCCAGTGTTGGGCTGGAGGGTGGCTCGGTGGTAGAATGCTCACCTGGGATGCATAAGGCTCTGGGTTTGAGCCTCAGCACCGTAAGGATAAAGAAATACATAAGCCAGTGTTGAGAGTCCAGAGCCTACCCCTCGGCTTGTTAGGCGGGGCCCTACGGAGAGTACAGGGGTGCCCTTCCCCCGCAGTCCGAGTGGGAGATGTGGGAGCGCTGCGCCCACCGCCTCACCGAGGCTATCCAGCACGTGGTGGAGTTTGCTAAGCGGCTCTCTGGCTTCATGGAGCTCTGCCAGAACGACCAGATCATCCTACTGAAAGCAGGTGCCCTGCCCGGGGCGGGGGCGGGGGCGGGCTGGTGCCCGTGGAGCGAGGGGGGACACAGGGGGCGCCTGAGACTCCTCGCTTTGCCTGACGCCATCCGTCCCACTTCTCTGCCCCCTACAGGAGCGATGGAAGTTGTGCTGGTGAGGATGTGCCGCGCCTACAACGCCGACAACCACACAGTCTTTTTTGAAGGCAAATACGGTGGCGTGGAGCTGTTCCGAGCTTTGGGTGAGGGGCAGGGGGAAAATGAGAGCGATTCCGAGGCCAGCCCCTCTGCCCCAGACACCCAGAGGGCGGTGTCCCCGGGCCGCCTCGGTCACGCTTCACCTTTTCACTCCCTCAGGCTGCAGCGAGCTCATCGGCTCCATCTTTGATTTCTCCCACTCCCTGAGTGCCTTACGCCTTTCCGAGGACGAGATCGCCCTGTACACGGCCCTTGTTCTCATCAACGCCAGTGAGTGTGGCCAGGCTTGGGGAAGGGACTCTCAGGGGGCCGGGCCGCAGCAAGACACTGAACAGTCTGGGCTCTTGGCCTGTTCAGTCTGGGCGAGTGCTTGAAACAGCGGAGTAGAGCCCCAGTCAATATTGCTAGATTGTAAGATAAAATGAGTTAAAATGACGATGCAGAAGCACCCGGGAGCGGGCAAGAGCAGCAAAAGGGGGCCGTAGATGTGGTAGAGGTGAGCCTGATCTTCGCTGCCTCAGATTCCTTGCTTACACACTTTGGAACCACCTGAGGAGCCTAAACACTATCCTTCCTGGGTCCCTGCTCCAGAGATTCCGGCATAATTGATCAGGGGTGCACTGGAATTTTTAACAACCCCCCCCCCCCCGGCCACCTCTGAGAATCTCTGCTCTGAGTGAACTCCTTCTGAGACCATTTCCCTGCAGTGGTGGGCTGGGCGGAGCGGCTGAACCCCAGGAAGTGGCCTGGCTGCTGACCTGAGACTGCAGATCAACAGAATCAGCCTTCTGGGCTCTAACAATAAAGAGAGGCCTAAACATGGCCCTCCATCTGGAAATAAAGACTTTAAAGATGACTTTCGGGTATTTTAGGGAATCAAGGCAAAACATGGTTTGGGTGTTGAAATTAGCCATGGACCGACCTCTTGCTGCAGGGGCCTGGGCACGGCCCTGAGGGGCCTCTGGAAGCCACCCCTACCCAGAGCCAGGCTTGTAAGAGTAGGGGAAGCTCTCTTCCAACCCTTTCCTGGTGACCGAACTCTAGTACCTAGCATCACACGGTTTCCGGTTTCTGTGAAATACCAGGTTAAGGGGAAGAGGTAGCTTGGAGTTAGGAGGTGAGAAGCTGCCATCCCTTTCTTTTCTCCCCAATTTCCTTTGTAGACAGCTGGCCAACCCCAAGATCCCAGAGCTTAACCATGATCGAACCAACATAACACACACACACACACACACACACACACACACACTCAGCGGGGAAGGCCTCTTCAGCACAGGTCCCCCAAAAGATACAAGCCCCTCTCCTTTTGTTTTTCTTTTTCGCTGGAAATGAGTGTCCGTGTTCTTTCTATTCTCGCCCTGGTCTCTTCCCCTCCTTCAGACCGGCCAGGGCTCCAGGAGAAAAGGAAAGTAGAACAGCTGCAGTGCAGTCTGGAGCTGGCCTTTCATCATCATCTCTGCAGGACTCATCGCCAAGGCATCCTGGCAAGGGTAGGAGCCACCCCCAGGGCGGGAGAGGCCAGGCCCTGTACCAGATCTGTGACATCAGGGCTTGGGACATCGGGGCCAGGGGCTCCGGGGACAGAGGGAGAGTCGGAGGCGGCAGCAGTGGGGCTGCAGGATGAGCGGCCCCTTCCATGTGCCTAGAGATGGACAGTTAGAGAGCCTGGAATGGGAAGGCACCCCCAGGGAGCAATCCAGCTCAATAGAGCCAACACTCAGCAGCACCTGCTTGTGCAAGGCACTGTGGAAAGATACAGAGACTCATTTTTGCCCCCACCAACTGATTTTAATCTGGTACAAAGAGTCTCATGTACCTTTTAATATAGCTCTATCTTAGAGCATGATATGTGATATTATAATAATGTGATCCACAAAGTGCTTTCACTGTTATGAACTCTTGTCCTCATGGCAACCCAGTCAATAGGACAAGTGGTAAAATTTCCCTGTCGTGCTGGGCATTATGGTACCTGCCTATGATTCCCAGCACCGTGGGAGGCTAAGTCAGGAGGGTTGTAAGTTCAAACACAGCCTAGGCACTTGGTGTCTTAGCAAGTCTCCATTTCAAAACAGAAAATTTTGAAAGGCTGGGGATGTAGCCCAGTGCAAAGGCCCTGAGTTCAGTCCTTGTTATCATAAAAAAAAATTCTTTGCAGCAGTAAGGAGACTTCTGTGACTTATGTGATTTATGAAGTGATAAATGCAAATTTTAGTCCTAGGTCTCTTTCACCATATCCCCATACACCCAATATGTTACTGTAAAAGATTTTGGAAAAATACCAAGAGGGCGTAGAACAGGGATTCAAAGCAATTTGAGGGTAAAAGAGCAGATCATAAAGACTTCCTAGAGAAGGCGCCATTTAGACAAGGCCATGAAAGACATACGGTTTCAACAGCCATTCGTGCGGAGACAGGCATCCCAGGCTTAGAGAATGATATGGATAAAAAGGAGGCAAAATAATGCACACGTGGCCAGGTCTGGTGGCTCCTGCCTAAATCTCAGCACTCTGTCGGCTGAGGTAGGAGGGCTGCAAGTTGAAGCAACTTAGCAAGACCCTGTCTGAAAATAAAAAATTTTTTAAAGGACTGGGAAGGTAACTCAGTGCAAAGACCTTGAGTTCAATCCCTAGGACTGATGGTGATGATGATAATAATAATAATAATAATAATAATAATAATAATAGATAGCAATAACAATGATGCATACATGGAGAATCGCTCATGGTACCTTTTCACTAAGGCGTGTGATCAGGAGCCAGGGTAGGTTGATGAGGTGGAAGAGTAGCAAGAGTCAAGGGTGAGAAATAAGTCAGAGGAAAGCCAGGGAGGACTTTCAGTGCCACATGGAAGAGTCACGACTTTCTTTCTAGGCAGTGGGCAGCCCTGAGGGCGAGAGGAACGATAGAATCACAGTGTCATTTGGTCAGTCTGCTTTGGAACCAGTATGAAGGAACCATTTCTGTAATCAAGGGGGCCCTTGCTATGCACAGAGATAGTGTTGAGCACACAGAAATGACCTTAAAAAGAGAGAAATGACTTTAAACAGCCTCTGCCTGAAAGAACTTGAATTTAAATCTAATACAAGATAGAAGAAGATACTGTAACCTGGAAAGCAAATGTGGTTGGATCCACTTTTGAAACACAGTGCCTCCCACACGTCACTGCACAGCTATCAGCTCTCGCGAGGTCCATTAGAGAGGCTCCTGCGCGGACCCCTGCTCCAGCCTTGCCTGCCCTGTTGCAGCCACATGGCACCTACTCAATGGCCCTACTAAGAAGGCAGTTCCCTCGTGTCCCTCCTGTAGATCCCTGTCATGCTGAGATGCAAACCTACGGTCTCGTGTCATGACCAACCCAACTCACGAGCTGACCCTGGGCTTCTTTTCTGACCTCACCCCCTGCACTGTTTTATCTAATTTTTCTTGTTGCTGAGACAAAATAACCCGATACCCAAAGTTAAAGGAGGAAAGGTTTTCTTGTAGCTCACAGTTTGTAGAGGTTTCAGTCCATGGTTGGCTGGCTCCAAGGCAGGCTGGCGAGGCAGAGGGGCATCGCAGAGGAGAGATAGTTCATAGGCAGAAGGTAGCAAGGCAGCAAGCTATAAGTGACCAGCAGCAACCCTCTTTCTGTGCTTAGGGCAGGCAGCACTCATACCCAGGGTGGGGCACCCTTAATCCTACCCAGAACTGTACCAAAGCAACCAGTGGGCTGACTTAGTAAACACACACCCTTGGTCCCAGCCTCACACACTCCAGATCCAGCCACCTCCAAAAAGCCCCATTTATGACTGCACAAGGCTTTGCGGGGACATCTAGACACGGCCACAACATTCCCCCTTCATCCTTCACTCCAACCACCCTAGTGTTCTTGCTGTCTCTTGAACACATCAAGGCCAATTACATCTCAGGGCTTTTGTACTTGCAGGAAGGTTCTCCCCCGTTTTCTGAATGGCTTGCTCCATCATTCAGGAGAGGTTGTCCCTAACCAGTGCCCCATACACTAAGCACTGTATCCTTCACCCTGCATTAGCTTCCCATAGAGAACTCATCCAGTATATCATGCACAGTCATGTGTTGCTTACCGGAAGCTTCCTGGTAAAGTGACCTCAGAGCTTACTTACATAAACTAAGCCGATAGCTAACAATATAATCTGATGTATGTTATTCGTCATTTCCTGAAACACTGCTATGTGGAATTTAACTATATTTGTTTATTTTCTGGTTTCCTCCTTAAAATATAAATTTAATAAAAGTAGAGATCTGATCTCATCAGTCTATCACATTTTCCCAGCCAAGATTCTCATAGTTTCTCAACAAATATTTGTTGAATGAATGAATGAAGCTATTGCAGTAGGCCAGACAAACTCAGAATAAAGTAGTAGACACAAAAAAATTGAATTCAAGAGCTATGAAGGGGTCACTTTCCCGGGAAATGAAACTGGGGGAGTGAGGTAATAGGTAGAGAGAGGTGTTTTTAAGCCTCTCTTGGTTATACAGGATATTGCAGAGGATAAATTGTGTTTTCACCCTTTCTCCCATGAGGTGTTGTTCCCTGTCTCCATATGGGCTTCTGTGCCTTTTTTTTTTTTTTTTCCTTTTGCAGTGCTGGTTGATTGAACCCTGGGCCTCATGCATGCTAAGCAAGAACTCTACTGCCGAGCTACATCCTAGCCCTTTTTTCCTCTTATTTTGATATAGCATCTCACTGAAATGCCCAGACTAGCCTGGAATTTCTAATCCTCCTGCCTCATCTCCTGAGTAGCTGGGATTAAGGGTGTATAACCCTGTGCCTGGCTTTTGGGGCCTTTTCCATTTCCTCTCTGGCTGAGGGCTGGCAGGGTTGGTTTATTCCTGCAGTGTCAGGAAACTGCTTAGAAAGTCTGTTTAGTTCAAACGTTACTAAGCATTTGGCATGTGCCAAGCACTATAACCGGTACAGAATATACAGAGGCAGGCAGGCAGACTGTACCTGAGGAGCTTAAATGTAGCCTTGGAAGACAGGAAGCCCGACCCTTTTCCTAGAGTGTAGTAAGTGCTATGCAGAGAGAAGCCCAAAGAAAGGGCCTTTAATCCAGGCAGGGCATGGGGGAGTTAGGGAAATATTCTCAGGGGGTGGCACTCAAAGTAGGAATTAGCCAAGCAAGAAAGGATGAGGGGAGCAATGTGAACAAAGACAAGGGGCCTTGAAAAAGGTTTGTTTTAGGAGTACCAGGAACACAACTGGGGGATTCTACTCAGGGGATTCGGGGACCCCAAAGGGCCAGGCATATAGGAAGAAAGCCAGGCAGGCCATCCCAGCCCAGGAAGGGCTCTGGGAAGAGCCCTGAAGTACTGACCCTCCTTCTGCACTAACCCACTGCAGCTGCCACCCAAGGGGAAGCTTCGGAGCCTGTGCAGCCAGCACGTAGAGAAGCTGCAAGTCTTCCAGCACCTCCACCCCATTGTGGTCCAAGCCGCCTTCCCACCGCTCTACAAGGAACTCTTCAGCACTGAAACCGAGTCCCCCGAGGGGCTGTCCGAGTGACCTGGAGGGGGATGCTTTTTCTCTCCCTTTGGCCTGGCTGTCGGGCCCACCTTCCAGGACCCTTCTCCACCCTCAGCCCATCCTTGTGCCTGCCCCACACCCTTTACAGGGGAGATGGCAGCTGAGCAAATGCTGAGACAGTTCTCTGCCCCCAGACTTGCCTAGCAGGGGACAATAGCCTTGTTCGGGCTCCTTCCCCACAGCCTTCACCCCGGCTTCTGGAAGGGTGGAGTGGGTGGGATATAAAGACCTCTAGGGGGACCAAGGTGTCCTCAAGAAAGGGAGAATCCAGCGCAGCCTGGATGAAGAGATCTCAACTCTGGGCTCGGAAGCTAAGAAGAGGCCTTCGAAATACCTCATTGTACTTCCCCAGCGCTTCCGCTGGGGAGGTGGATCAAGCTCAGAGACTAGTGTGAGACCCCGGAAGGACGTGTACACAACATGAAACTGGATCCTTAGATTGTGTGGACTTCCTACTTCTTCTCGGTCCAGCAAAGAGGTTGCTGGGCACCTGCCTTTTTCCTGGGGTCGAAAAAAACTGGCTATGTGGAGGGTGAGGATGGCATGGGGGTGAGGGACCAGGGTTAACCGTTTTAAAGGATTTGGGTGTGGGAGAGGGTACAGTGGAGGCTAAGGACACCACAGACAGAGACCAGGGCTGGAACTCAAACTTCCTACAGGCACTTTAAAAACAGATTAGGAGTTAGCACGACCTGATCAGACACACACGTTCACATACAGGTGGAAAGCATGCCAAGCCACCCTGCGGGCGTGTGGCTGTGCGGACGCTTGTGATAGGGCACAGTCACTCATCCTTCAGGTCCCAGCTCAGAAAATCCTAGTGACCGAGGGAAGAGACCTACCTGGAACATTTCCACGGGGCTCCAGCCCATTAATCTTAGGCTGGGGTGGTCCTAACCCCACCCCAGCTCCAGCTGCCTTCTATCACAAGAAAACCAGGGCAAGTAGAGCGGGCCGCACTGGGGTTGACCAGAAGGCCGTAACAGCATGGGGGTGAGGGGGGATCTCCTCCCCCTGGTTCCCAGCACTGCACTCACACTGGAGAAAGGAAGGCCATGCTGTCCGACCACTCTGCAGCTGGAGGCTGCTGACTCCTGCATGAGGAGGAGCAGGACCTGTTTCTCCTGCTGTGATCTTGCCCCAAACTTCTCTTGGCTTTATAAGTAGCTGTGGGCTCTCCTGGGAGAGATAAACAGCGAATGATAGGAAGAGAATCTTTTTGTCTTCTCTCAGGGGAGGGGTTTAGCTGGGTAAACATAAAATCCGTGTGCCACTCCTTATAGAATGATTGCAAAGGCAGAAGTGTGTGTGCATGCGTGTGTGGTGGACTACCAAAAGATGGCTACAAGCCTGCTGTCCGGTCTCATTCTTGTGGACTCACCAGCAGCGTAAGGATTCCAGCCTCTGGGGCTCCCCCCAGGCCTAGCAGCCCCCAATGAGGCTAGCCAATTGTTCCTCATGTAACCCCACTGATGTTGCCTCATACTGAGCTCCACGGGGATGTTCTGGACTGAGGACTTCCCCACAAATGATGCCCATGGGGGTTGTTCCGATTTAGAGGTTGCACAGAATTGCCCTGCATCCTGGAGACTAAAAGAGATTACCCTGGAAGGTAGCTGGTCCCAGGAGGCCTGTAGCTCTCCGGAGGGGAATAAGGGTGTTTGAGAGGCCTTGGGTGAGCCCCTGCTGCAGCGTAGACTACAGACCCCTTCCTGCCACGGCCCCTTCTCCCTCCTCCCCCATCCTGTACTCCCACTTGCTGCAGCCCCCCCTGGTTGTTTTATTTATTTATTTTGCACCAACAGGATTGCTGCAGACTCATTCTCGCCTGGTTTAAAAAAAGAGAGAGGGAGAGAGGGAGAGAGGGAGAGAGGGAGACAGGGAGACGGGGGGGGGGTGCTTCCTGGCTTTTTTTTCTCTCCCTCAGTCTTGGCAGCACCAGGCACAGCAGCAGCAGCAGCAGCAGCAGCAGCAGCAGCAGCGGCAGCAGCAGCGGCAGCAGCGGCGGCGGCGGCGGCGGCGGCGGCGGCGGCGGCGGCGGCGGCGGCCGGCAGCGGCAGCAGGCAGGGGGGCAGTGGGCGGTGGGGACTGAGGCACAGAGGGGAGGTGCAGGGGCCAAGGGCCTGCTCGAATGGGACAGGGTCCTCAGCCCTGGCCAGATGCAGTGACCAAGTTGATGCCACCCTCCAGCTTCTCTGGTAAGTGCCCCTACTCGGTCCTGAAGCTGCAGCTGCCCTTTTCCCTAACGTTCTCACAGACAAAGCGGACCGGTGTCCCTGTCAATGAAGGCGAACGAACGCAGCAGTTGTACCTCACCCCCACCACCCATTAATCCTGGCCCCACAGGACTCTGATGGGGAAACTAAGACTTCCGGACTCCAAGGAGCCCTCCCCTCCCTCTCCCCAGTACTCCCTCTACCTCAGGTAGGGTTTCCCCACAATCTAAGGGGCATGCCAGGAATCTTCCCCCAGGGCACCACTCCCCACACGGTCCTCAATCAGGTGTGTAGAAAGAGCACAGGGGTGCTCCCTGAGGCAGGAAGGAAGCTTCCTTTCCTTGAGGGGGGTGATGCCCAGACCCCACCCTCCGAAGGAGAGAAAGAAGTGGCTCTGGCACCTGTCTCTCCCTGCAAAGTGGCCAGAAGCCAGTCATGTAGCCACGGAGGTTGGCAAGGGTCGTGTGTGATTAAATCAGCCACTTTATGAATGAAGGTGGACCCCAGATCCCCCAGCCCCTGGCCCAGCAGGCTTTGGCAAGTAAGAGGAAACTCACAGGAGTGGGAGGGAGGGAAGCTGGGTTACATGCTCCACTGCACTTTTGCTGAATGCAGAACGGAAAGGATGAGCAGGAACTGCAGCGGTGGTGATGGAGAGCTAGCTGTCAGGTGGACTTCTCAGAACAGGCCCAGGGAGCAGGAGGGAGCTGGGACACTGCCCTCCCTGGAGAACTCTGAGCATGCCGGAGATGCCCGTTCAGTCAGAACAAGGGCAGCCCTTGCCCCTTGCCGTGACTTTTCCTACACCGCTCTGTTCTGTTGGCCTCCTTCAGCCAGCCAAGCGCCACAGATCTGTGAAGTAACTAAGGACCGCCTCCCCAGTGACCCTCCCAGAGGAAGGTTAGAGTGGGAAGGAAGAGGAAGAAGTCTTGCCATCTCAAACTGCCTCTCCTGTGTTCCACATGGGAGGAAATAGGGCAAGTAGCAGAAAACTGACCCCATAGGGCCCAGAAAGCCAGAGCTCCCAAAACCCAGAAGTGATCAGGACCCGCAGCCGGGCAGAGACCCGCAGCCTGTCCCAGGCCTGCTGCCCCCAGGAGCACCAGCTGGCTGGCGCTTGCTCTTATTACTTGGCCATCCCTTGCCAACTCCAACACTTCCCCTCCCTTGGGTTCCTGCTGCATGGAACAGGACACGCTGAGGGGCTCTCACCAGAAAGACCCCTTCTCTTCTGTCACCTCAGCCAGGTCTGCTGCGGTCAGTCATCATAGTCATGACTAATACTGCCCAGGCCTTGGGTGCTCCACACACTGCCTGGGCCCAGTTTTCTGGCGTGCTGTTCCCGCTCCACAGCATCTGTCAGATGTTGTCTCCCTCCCTGGTCACAGTCTGCCTCATTATTGCTCCAGTAGCTTAGGGCAAAGCGGACAACAGCTCCCTCTCAGAGTCACACATCGACTAGAAGCAATACCCCATTAAGGGGGTCATGAGAGACACCCCAGACAGCTCTGAGAAACAGAACTGAAACCCTGGCACCCTCTGGATCCCTCTCACACCCCAATTCCATGTGCAGTGCAGGGGAGGAGGGGTATACTTCCGGGCTTCCCCGCCAAGTGCTGCCTGCATTCAGCCTGTTGTCCGCACAGGGTCTCTAGGGACCTAGGATCTGCTAGTCCAGAGCTCGGACACTGGGTCAGAGCTGAGGCCTGCGTGTTCCCCAGCCTCCAGCGACTCCGTCAAGGTGAGGACCTGTTTCTGTCAGCACAAAAAGCTCTGGCCAAGGATGTGATCTCCCTGGGCCTTAGACAAAGCTGTGGATACCCAAAACAGGAGTGACCAGCGGCCTGAGAGGCGGACAGCAGTGGGGGCCGGGCTGAGAGGAGGGTAAGGGGCCTGTGGGATTCCTGTCTCACAGACGCAGGAAAACCCCACTGTGGGCAAACTCAGTTTCTCCCCTGCTGTTCCATTCCGTTCCCATAAAACTTTCTCCACAGAAAGCAGGTTGACCAGGGTTCCCTGAGCACATGGCCGTTATCCAGGGCTGGGAGGGAAGGAAAGGAGAGATTCCCTGAAGAGGAGCCCAGAAAGCCCCAGGGAGATGGCACACCAGAATCCGTCCTGGTTTTGTGTCCTCCTTACCGGCAATGCTGAGGCAAACAGACCAATTCTCTCTCTTCCGAGGTGGCTCAGGGAAGACCAGGGTCATCACCTGAAGCCACTCTTCACAAAGGGCCATGTCCTTATCTATTCCAGGACTCAAGAGGGGATGGACGCGGCCACAGCTCCAAAGCCAGCCTGGCCCCCATGGCCTCCCCTCCTTTTCCTGCTCCTCCTGCCTGGAGCGGGCAGTGCCAGCTGCCCTGCCGTGTGTGACTGCGCCTCCCAACCCCGGGCAGTGCTCTGTGCCCACAGGCGGCTGGAGGCTATCCCTGGGGGTCTCCCACCGGACACTGAGCTCCTGGACCTCAGTGGGAACCACCTGTGGGGGCTTCAGCAGGGCATGCTCTCCCGCCTGGGCCTGCTTCGGGAACTGGACCTCAGCTACAACCAGCTCTCCACCCTTGAGCCCGGGACCTTCCACGGCCTGCAGAGCCTACTCACACTGAGGCTCCAGGGCAATCGCCTCCGCATCATGGGGCCTGGGGTCTTCTCAGGCCTGTCTGCCCTCATTCTGCTGGACCTCCGCTTCAACCAGATCGTCCTCTTCCTGGATGGAGCCTTCGGGGAGCTGGGCAGCCTCCGGCAGCTGGAGGTTGGGAACAACCACCTGGTGTTTGTGGCTCCCGGGGCCTTCACAGGGCTGGTGCAGCTGAGCGCCCTCACATTGGAGCGATGCAACCTCAGCATGGTGCCTGGCATGGCCCTCGCCCGCCTCCCAGCTCTGGTGGCCCTTAGGCTCCGAGAACTGGATATCGAGAGGCTGCCTGCCGGGGCGCTGCAGGGGCTGGGGCAGCTGAAGGAGCTGGAGATCCACCACTGGCCATCCCTGGAGGCTCTGGACCCGGGGAGCCTGGTGGGGCTCAATCTGAGCAGCCTGGCCATCACTCACTGCAATCTGAGCTCCGTGCCCTTCCAGGCACTGTACCACCTGAGCTTCCTCAGGGCGCTGGACCTATCTCAGAACCCAATCTCGGCCATCCCAGCCCGAAGGCTCAGCCCTCTGGTGCGGCTCCAGGAGCTCCGGCTGTCAGGGGCTGGCCTCACCTCCATTGCCGCCCACGCCTTCCATGGCCTGACTGCCTTCCACCTCCTGGACGTGGCAGATAACAACCTTCAGACTCTGGAGGAGTCGGCTTTCCCTTCACCTGACAAACTGGTCACCCTCAGGCTGTCTGGCAACCCCCTCACTTGTGACTGCCGCCTCCTCTGGCTGCTGCGGCTACGCAGCCACCTGGACTTTGGCTCGGAGCCCCCTGCCTGTGCCGGCCCCCAGCATGTCCAGGGGAAGAACCTGAGGGAATTTGCGGACATCCTGCCTCCAGGCCACTTTACTTGCAAACCAGCCCTGATCCGAAAGTCAGGGCCTCGGTGGGTCATTGCAGAGGAGGGAGGATACGCTGGTTTCTCCTGCTCGGGAGAGGGAGACCCAGCCCCCACCATCTCCTGGATGAGGCCTCAGGGGCCTTGGCTGGGAAGGGCTGGGAGAATTAGGGTCCTGGAGGACGGGACACTGGAGATCCACTCGGTGCAGCTACGGGACCGGGGGCCCTATGTCTGTGTGGTCAGCAATGCGGCCGGGACCGACTCCCTAAGGACCTGGCTGGAAGTAATCCAAGTTGAACCACCAAATGGCACTCTCTCTGACCCCAACATCACCATGCCTGGGATCCCAGGGCCTTTCCTTCTGGACAGCAGGGGAGTGGCCATGGTGCTAGCAGTTGGCTTCCTCCCCTTCCTCACCTCAGTGACCCTCTGCTTTGGGCTGATCGCCCTCTGGAGCAAGGGCAAGGGCCACGTCAAACACCACACAACCTTTGACTTCGTGGCACCTCGGCCCTCCGGGGATAAGAACTCCGGGGGGAACCGGGTCACAGCCAAGCTCTTCTGACCTTTCCTCCCACCCTGAGGATCCAACTGAGTGCACTCCAGGTACCAAACCAGAAGACAGAACCAGAGCCACTTTGGACGGGACTGCACCCCGAGGAGCGCAGTTCACTCACACCTGCCTCTGCCTTGTGCCAGCAGCTGGGGAAGCTGGTCTCGGGCTGCTGCCCTGCGCTTTTCCAGTCTGAGGATGGCACTGCCATCTCTCCTCTGAGCGGCCCAGGGAGCTACAGATACAGACCCTGTGGTTAGCCCGGCCTTCCCTTAACCACCCCATCAACACCTACGCACAACACACGAACCATAACCAAGGTTCCAGCCTGCTATTCTAACCACTGGGCTTCCTTCGCACGCTTATAACTTTAATAACCAATGCCACCTGCCAGCTGCAGCCACAAGATTATTTCAGAGGTGGGGCTGGGAAGTACCACTTGGTTAATGGGGTCCCTGGTCCTCACCCACACAGCCTGCCTTTCTTTTCTGGTCCGCAGCCCCAGCCTCTAGGTGCAAGGAACTAGAGCCGGGGGGTGCGCAGCTAAGGAGAAGGGCACGCATGCGCGGGTGGGGAGGGCAGACCACACATCTGCACGGGCCTCGGCCGCCTTCCTGTCTGAGCATGAAACCTGCTGCCCCAAAGCCACCAGAGGCACAGCCAGGACAAATCATGATCTCTGGAACTTGCTTTACCTCGGTTTATTCCCTTCTCTCCTTTCTGCCTGCCCGCTGATGAGGGTCTTGGTGACCTTGCCTCCACCTACCCCAGCCTGCCACTGAAGGCAGAGGCCATGTGTCTGGAGAGCTCAGCACTTCCCGCTGACCACTCAACTCTTTTCCTTTTACTTCCCATCTCTGGAGCTGAGGAGAGATTCCTGCACCTCCCAAGGGATGCCTGTGCAGAAATCCCGGCGTAGGACACCTAGCTCCTTCCCTTCTACATTTCTAATAGATCCCTAGTGCCCTTGGGGGGAAACCAGAAGGGACCGCCTAGAAAATGACTAATAAATGCCAGAAACTGCCTCTGTCGGAGAGACCCAGCCTGGAGGAAGAAGGGCGGGGGACTGAGCAAGCTGTAGGGAAAGGGGAGGAAACAGGGGTGCAGAGGGTACAGCCTGCCTGGTTCCTTTCCACTGCAGTGCACGTGCGTGCACACACACACACACGCCCATCTTTACCACGGTCCCAGTGGGAAGCTGTCTCTGGACAGACAGAGGGGAAGCAGATGAGCCCCAGAACTGCCGAGTACCCCGGAGTGTGGCTCACACAGAGGACAAAGCAGAGCTCCGGAAAGTGCAGGTGCTGAAAATCAAGGGACAGGACAGCAGCCTCAGCATCGGGGGAAGACCAGGAGTGGAAGGGAGCAGAGGGGAGCGAGAGGAGGGACGGACAAGTGAAAAGTCACTGGGGGGCTCTGAGCCTTTCTGCAGCAGCACCTGCCCGTGTCCTTAGGTCCTTAGTTTCCCTCCTCCTAGTGGAGTTCTCGCCCACCGGCCCCACGCCAAAGGCACCCTGAGCTACCTAGCTGCCGCCTGTCCTTGCTCTGAGGAGAGCCCATTCATTACCACAGCACCGCTCAAACTGCCCATCAGGTCAGGTGCTGAGCTCTGCAGTGGGGCCGAGGGGCCTGAGCCCGGACAGACCTGCGCTCTTGAGAAATGCCATCCCTGCGCCCCATCCCCCACACACAGCTCAGCACCCAGCAAGCCCCCTCTCGAGCCCCCGATGGTCCCTCCTCGCCCTCATCTTCCTTCCACCCAGCAGCTTATTAGGTTGGCACCTGGACGCCGAGCTTCTCACTCTACTTGCCCTTCCTGCAATGCGGACAGCATCGGAACCAGAGCTGCTGGAAGCCCCTGGGGCAGCTAGGAACAGATGAGTGTCTGTCTGGCAGAGAGACTGCGGTGACACAGATTTGCAAGAGAGGGGAAAGTCAAGTCATGTGTGTAACTGCAAATTTATAGTAGCCCCCCCATTAAACAAAACCAAAATGAAGCAGCCTTAATTTTAATACTGTATCTGTTTAACCCAATGCACCCAAACTATTATCATTTCAATGTTAGCGATGTAAAAATCAGTAATGACAAGTTTCTTTCTCATACTTGGTCTTTGAAATCGAGAGTATAATTTACACTTATAAGGCCTCTCAATTCAGTCACTAAATTTTTGCCAGAAATATCTGTATTTAATTTCCTAAAATTCACCTTTGAAGAAGTAGATTCACATGTTCAAGTTGTTCTAAGCATAGTTCAAAGTTTTCCCATAACTGAATCAAGGGTCTGTTCTCGATTTTAAATTAATTGAAATTGAATAAATTTAAATTTCCATTCTCCAGTCACATTTACATGTGGCCACTAGACTGGACAGTACAGCTGCAGAAACTATGACCTTGGGCAAGGACTGGGGTCTGCCTGGGAGACAGAGTCTCACTCGGGAAGCATTCACATCTCACGGAGATGCCTGCAGGGTTTCTCTCCACTACCACCTCTCTTCACCTTCATGGCTTTCCTGGGACGCCTTCGAGAGGTGAAGCCTGTCAAGGGAACAAGGTCACTGTGCTGAGTACTTCCAAGGCTGGCCCCACCACAGCCAAAGAAAATGCAGATACAGCTGAGGATGGGAGTGGGGGGTGCTGACCACTGGCTCTGCAGGCCCAGTGAGGCTGGGATGGTGCCACACTGTAGGGCCGATCCAACAGAGGCACCGCCTGGGGTGGGCTGGGGATGAGACTAAGAGAGGAGGGAACATTTCGGGGGGGCCTATTCCATGTCACATGGGGGGCCTTATGCATGCTTTCTTGTTTAATCTTCACATCAATCCTATCAGGCAGGCAGGCAACTGAGCTGATGGAACTGAAGGTCAAAGAGATTCCGCTGCTTAAGTGAGTGCAACTTAAGGAACAAGGAACCTGCATCTGAACTCCGCACTGTCTGGCTGAAAACCTATGCAGTGTCCACCATCCTGCCACACTCACTGTTATTACTCCTCCCACGACCTCTCCGTAGCGGGACGATTTGTGACAAAGGTGACATCTTCCACCCCACTCATGCTGAGCTTTTATGGAAGCCTGGGATCGGCTGCTGATCCTCACCTTTCTTCCATGACCCTCATGTATCTGAGTCAGGAAGTTGTTCATTTGTCCTCTCCTCCCTCCCTCTCCATTGTCCTGCCTGCCCCTGCCTTAGGGACTGGTGAAAGGGAGCAGAAGTCCCAATCCCAGACTGAAGAGAAAGGTCTGTCTCCCAGCAATGGATGTCTTCTGATTGAAAATGTAGCCAGGGATTTATCGCAGTGGTTCCGCCACCTGCATCACAGGTGCAAGGACCCGAGTTCGATCCCCAGTACAAAAAAAAACAACAAAAAAACAAACGAAAATGCAGTCTTCCGATTTCCTGGTTCCTTTTCTGGGTCCTACATTTAGCACCTTCTTAGGCTAGAGAAATCCCTTATCAGGAATTTTCTGCATGGTCGAAGAACCTATGAGCTCTCTGCCTTCACTGGCTCTCTGCACTTTCTGCCTGCCCCTGCCTAACAGAACCTTCCCGAGGCCACCTCATCCTTCCTTCCTCCTCCTCCTATTTCAATCATGCTTTCACCTAGGCTGAGAGCACTCTGGCATCATTCTGCTACTCCCCATGTTGCTCCCTGATACATTCTTTCTCTCATGTCTGATTTCTATTTCTTTCACTGTACTGGATCCTGATGCAAGGAATGAGAGCCCTGCAAAGTAATGATCCTCAACTTTGAGTTGCAACCCCCACTGAAAACACCTGGTGCACGCTTTGAACAAAAGTATTTATCTGTTTCCCAGTTGTCTGAAGCCCTCACAGACCCCACGGAGCACAGGTTAAAAAGTGCTGTGGAGGTCACAGGCTGCAGGGGCAAAGCTGAGGGCTTAGGTTGCCTTTGCTCCCCGGGGTCCATTTGATAGAGACCAGGAGAAAAGGGTGGGAAGCGCTGCAGTGTGGAGCAGACGTTAGCACAGGTGAAAGGAGGTGCTGGGCTGGGTCCTGTCCCCTTTTCCCACCAGCACCTATGTCAGGGACAGGCAGGAAACCCTGGGTGGGAACCTTGCCCTGAGAAATGAGTGTGAGGATGACTCGGGCTGGAGAACATCGGAGACCATGGACTCCTGAGCCCTGTTCCTGCAGATTGCTTGTAAGGGAAACCAACCTGGAAGACTTAGAGCCTATGGTGGGCGCTGGAGAGGCTGAGGAGAATCTCGTCCTGGAACTCTGGGCACAATTCACCAGTGTGATCTAAAGATGGAACCAGCATAGCTTATGACCCTGCTCCCATTTCTGGTTTCTGGTGAAGAGTCTTGATTCACCGGGAGCAAAAGTGACCCCTACAATGCGTAAAAGAAGAGATAACTCCTGCTTTTCAAAGACATAGACAACTGCATATTATTCACACAGTGACCCGTATGTTGTATGTGAGGAACTCTGAGTGGCCAAGGCTCTGGAGTCAGGGCCACTGTGTCTGAGAACCTCTCCCGCCCAGGCCCTAGCTCAAGTCTACTCCTGATCTGGCTGAGTGCAAACACCTGCTCAGTGAAGGAGGCCCTGGGAATCCCAGGCCTGATGGTAACTGATTTCACCTGCTGCCTCCTGCAGCCTGTTCACACATACACCAAAGAAAGGGAATAAATGTTTAGGAACTGGAGAGGAGAATAAATCACAATTCACCCAACCCAGCATCTCACAATTCAATCTCTCAATTTTGGTTTGGGCTCTTAGAGGGGAAATAAGATGAGAAACCCCAAATGCATGATGAATTGAAAGCGAGTTTAGAATCATTCCATCTAAAGTTATTCCTTCTAGTTCCCAATCTCCCTACCCATCCAGTTAAGACATCAACCTTCTTCTCTAAAATTTCCAAGAAAAGAGATCCATCTTCCTTTTCACTGCCCTGGTGTGATTTTTTTTTTTTTTTTTTTGGTAACGGGGATTGAACTCAGGTCCTTGCACTTGTGCAGCAGGCAACGAAACCACTGAGCTAAATCCCCAGCCTGTGATTTTAATATTTAATTCCTATTCTAAATTTCCATTTCATTTCCTCTTTTTTGTCCACTGCGACTCACACTGGAGTCAGAAGATGATAGGGTTATAAAGTAATTCTGTGCCTTTTATAGCACTACTGGACATTATTTCTTAGATTTAATCACTCTGTTACCTTTTTAAAGTAAAAATAGCTATAGCAATCAGGACACTCAAAATACCTAGGAATAATCTTAACAAGAAACATGTACAAGAAACTGTACATGATAAAAAATTTAAAACACTACTGATGGGACATCAAGGACTAAAACTTATGGGATGATTCCACATCATAAAGACAATTCTCCCTTAAGTAATCTAAAAGAATATGATCCCAATCAAAATAACATTAATAGTAGAATAGAAAAGTGAAGTGAGGTATATTTTCACTGTAAACAGTAATAAAAATGAACACCCTAAAATGATACAAACATGATTGATCTCAAAATAATTTTAGCAAAAGAAATGAGACACAAAAGCGTATACACTCTGATTCTCTCCGTACGTATACATCAGGGAAACTGGTTTACAGGATTAGGAGTCAGAAAACCGGCCACCCTGGAGGAGAGTAGTAACTGGAAGAGGACACAAGAGCAGCTGCAGCATGGGCAGGATTCTGGTTTTGTTTTGTTTTGTTTTTTGGTACCAGGGATCAAACTCGGGACCTTGTGCTTTCGAGGCAGGCGGTGGAACCACTGAGCTAAATCCCCAGCCCTGGTTTTGTTTTTTTAATCTGGTGTTGGTTACACAAATGTATTCCATTTTTGAAAATTCATCAAGATGTACACGTTTTATCCTTGCATTTTTCTGGATATACATTATACATTAGTTTGTCAAATTATGTTGAAAACACATGTGCAGAGCCTAGGAATTTAGCTCAGTGGTTTCACTGCCTGCTGCGCAAATGCAAGAACCTGAGTTCAATCCCCGGTACCAAAAAAAAAAAAACACATGTGCAGGGTCAGAGATTTAGCTCAGTGGCACCGTGCCTGCCTGGAAAGTGCAAGGTCCTGAGTCCCATCCCTGGTACCAAAATAAAATAAAATAAAATAAAACAAATAAAACCACATGTGCAATTTTGAGAAATAATATGGCAGTGAATAGATCAATGGAACGCAATGGAAAATTGAGAAACAGACTCAACAATTTGATATTATAAAGGTAGCACTAAAAATCTGACAATTGGATATTATAAAGGTAGCAAAAATTTGGAGATTACAAAGTTAGCATTAAAAATGGAGAAAATAAGTATCATTAAATAAGAACAGCAGGATAAAACAAAGTTGGACTTGTCACACCAATAAATTCCAGATAAGTCAAGTATTTACAAATACAGAAAGACGCTACAAACGAATTTTTAAAAAACTTTGTAGAGAGCAAAAACATTACCCTAAACAAACTAAAATGACATAGGACAAACTGTAGGAGTATTAAAGAGAGATTCAAAGTATTAAAGAGAGATTCAAAACAAGTAAAAATATAAACAAAATATATAAACATAATTTACAAAAAATACAATTGACTCTTAAACATTAAAAGATGCTAACCTTACAATAAAAGAAATGAAAATGAAAATTGCAATGAGATACCAGTTACACTATCAAAAAACAAGACGTGAACACACCCTTAATGTGCTATCAAACAGATCCTTTTCTTCTTTTTTGAGATGGGGGAACCTCCTGCCTCAGCCTCCTGAGTGCTGGGATTACAGGTGTGCCCCACCATGCCTGGCAGCAGATGAGAGTAAATTAGTAAAAGTTCCATGGAAGACAATTTGGCAGTACTACACCAAAATCCTTTTCATACACTGCTGGTGGAATGAAAATCAGAAAAACCTTGTATGAGAGGAAAGGAATTTGCAAAATTGTATTTATCAAAAAAACAAAAAAGCACACATTCTTTGACCTAGAGTTTTCATGCCAAGTATTTATCACACAGATATACAACAGCAAAACGAAGTCTGCCTGTATATCAACATAACGCTAAAGGACTAGTTAAACACATCTGGGTATATTCCTCAGTCTCACTCTGAAACTGTACTATGACACTGATATGTATGCGCTATGAAAAGATTTCTAGATTATATAGAAGTGGCAAAATAGAATGTACAATATGCTATTAACTGGGTGAAGTACATATACACAAATGCATGTTAACGGTGGAATATCTTATGAAACAGTTCACAAGCTGTTGGGACTGGTAGCTTCTGAAGGAAAGAGGAGTCTGTAATAATCTCTTGCTCCTTTTGAATCACCTAGAATGTGCAAGTACTACTTACTCAAAGCATATATATATATATACATATATATATATACACATATATATATATATACATATATATATATACACATATATATATATATATATTTTTTTTTTTCTGATACCAGGGATCAAACTCAGGATCTTGTGCTTGTGAGGCAGGCACGGTGCCAGAGTTAAACCCTTGGCCCTCATACATATTTTTAAAATTACGGTGAACCCTCTATTTACGACCAGCCAGATATGCCAACGACTTGGGTTACTTATGACTCAATTTTAAATTTTAACTTATGAACAAATCCTTGAGTTATGACCTGAATGCCCACCGCTTGTGCTTCCAGCTGGTCTCAGACACAGATTTAACCCTTAAAGAGTTCTGGAAGGAACATTACAACAGCCTTTCCTATGTGGGGTCAACTGAGAAATCCTGGGCCAGTGTCTCTCTAAGGACACCGAGATCTGCCTGATACAGGACAGACTTCGAAGCCTGTGTAAAGGAGCCTGAGCCTTCCACTGACCAACTTGAGTTACAACCAGCCCTCGAGAACGAACTGAATTCATAAGTCAAGGGTCCACTGTAATGGCTGAGGCAGGAGAATGGCTTGAACCCGAGTTGGAGGTCAGCCTGGGTAACACACTAAGACCCTTTCTCTTAATTAAAAAGGAAAAAGAAAAAAAAAAATGAGGCTCAAAGGCATCTCCCTAAGTGACGTAAGATTCAACAAAGGTTTATGGAGTACTTATCAGTGACAGGCATTTCCATAAAGGCGAGGGCGGAAGGCGCGCGCAGGCCGGGCCCAGGCGAGGACGGGGCGCGGGGACGGGGGCGGGACTCAGGGCGCGCGGGACCAACGTCCCCAACGCCCCCAACACCCGGCCGGGCGCGACCTCCCCAGCGGCCCGCGCTGCCCTGCGCCTCCTCCGCCTCCTCCGCCTTACCTCCGCCCACGAAGCCCATGTCACGTTTTCCAATGAAAAATCCAATGTTTCCCGCGTCGCCTGCGCCTCCGTCACCATTTGGGGGACCGATGGAGGCAAAAAATAAAATCGCAAGAGAAACAAGTGGTGGAGCTGTTTCGCCCACCATCACCGGGCTGTGGCGTGAAACTGAGCAATGCCCTGCGATCGGTGCACGCGTGGGGGACCCGACCCCTCGCACGGTCCCGGCCTCGCCCGCGCGGACTTCCCCGGGATTCGGAGGCCGGAGCTCCCGATCACAGGCTCAGAGCGGGGCGAGGACGGCTCGGTGAAGTCTCCAGTTCGCTGTTTAATTCAGACCAGGTGCAATCTCAATGCGCAACATCTGCTTCCCTGGACCTTATTGGCTAGCAGGGTGGGCGGGCTCTAGAGTTCATCGCGGTCATTGGGCACCAGCGCGCCGCAGCTACGTCGCTCACAGCAAGTCGAGGAAGGATTGGTTGCAGCGGGCACAGGCTACTGGACGGACGGAGAGCGCAGTGTTGATTGGCGCGGACGGGGTGCGGGGGCGGGGAAGTGGGGGCTGAATCGCGGCCGGCGGTCCGAGTCGCGGTACTCGAGGGCGGCGGCCGCGGCCGGGCGGAGGTGTGAGGCGGAGCGTGCGAAGGTGGACGCTGGAGGAGTGGTAGGCGGAGGGCGGCCCGGCCGCGGGCGGCAGAGGCTCGGCGGAGGGAGGGATGGCGGGCGGCCCCTGGGGGGAGGCGAGGCGAGGGCAGCCGCGCGTGGGCCGTGGGAAGTGGCCTGGAGCCGGGCCCGGCGGGAGACCTTGGCCCGACGCTGCGCTTTCCTGAGACGGAGGCGCACCTTCGGGTTGTGATTCTGCCGTCTGAGTTGCGTCCCGGGAGCGCCCCGTCCCGAGGCTGGGGCCGCAGGCGCGGAAGGACGCGCGTGGGCTTTTCCTCCTCGCCCACCGAATGATAGCTGCGGGTTTGGGCTAATTGGACTTTCTCAACTCATTCCTTGAGGCATCAGCTGATAACACAAATGCATTTGCAACATCTGCAGGAGGAGTTAGCAAATGTTGGCTTTTGATTGAAATAGAAGTCACCCGACGGATTACCCTTGTCTGGGTAGCTTCCCTCCGCGTCGCTAGTGCAGGCTCTCAGCCTCTACCCTCTGCTGGTGTTCCGTCCAGACCCCCACCAAATGGTTCCGCCTCCGCCCTCTGCCCTGCCAGAAATCAATCGCTGGGTCTTGTGCGTTCCACCCACTGAAACTCTCTTGCTTACCAGCGTCTCCGTCATCCATACCTCCACTGGTCTCCAGCCGGACCCGCTGCTGCCTGCATGGCCGTTAACCAAGAATTAGAGCCGGGCGTGTGCTACAGGGATGTGCGCGACAACCAGCCCAGTGTGGGAGGTCGGGATTCAGGAAACGGAGCCAGAAAAATAGCAGGAACCCTTGGCCTTCACCCTGATTGTTTCTGAAAAACCGTTTGTGCTTTTGGGCTTGGTGAAGAGGTTTGATCATGACTGCTCCTCAAAAAGGAAATTCGTTTCTTGCACACTGTATTGTGCAGAAATTGCTAACCAGGTCTGTGACCTTAGGAGATCCTTTTGTATCTCTGAGCTCACTTTCACCACATTATAACATTAATGGAACGAAATTATCTCAGTGGTCCTTCCCAGTTCTAAAACTTCAACGTCTGTGCCCTATGACAGTGATGGCGAAACTTTTAGAGCTCTCGATGATAACAAACAGCCCGCTGTGGCATGCGTGCCATGGGTTCACCACCGCTGCCTTACAAGCATAAATTATATGGCCAGAAAGATGGCTTTAAAGGCAGAAAGCATTAAAGAACACAAGGCTAGATTTGTTTCGGTTTCCCAAAACCTTTTTAACACGTAGAGATTCCTGCCTGACAAGACATTCCCTATTGGACTCGATGAAGGCATCTAGTCTTGATTGCTGTGTCCCCTGAGCTGAGCTCCCTTGGGATACTCAGTTTTCTGGGGGTTTTTTGTTGTTTTGTTTTGTTTTCTGGTACTGGGAATTGAACTCAGGACCTTGCACTTGCCAGGCAGGCACAACACCACTGAGCTAAAATCTCCAGCCCTTACTTTTTGGATTTTGAAACAGGGTCTCACTATATAAGTCAGGCTGGTCTTGAACTAATTATGTAGTCCAGGCTGGCCTCAAATTCACAATGATCCTCCTACCTCAGCCTCCCGAGTGGTGGGATTACAAGCATGCGTCGTCACACCCAGCACTCAGTTTGTATTGGTTTGAATAAATTGGCAACAGATAAATGAGCTGTATTTTAATGAAATGGTTTTCAACTGTGCCCCATCTAAGAAATAAACGTTTTAAGTTCCAGTTCCTCCACACTGTTGCATTGACCAAGATTTTATAATGCTTTTCTATTGTCGTGTAATTAGTTGTTTGGGTGTTTATCACTTCTTTTGGACTGTTAGTGTCTCAGAGCAGGAATTCTGTCTTACTTCTCCCCCTCTCTCTCCCCAGCATGCTCAGTCCATAACAGAGCAGTGTTTAACTGAGGCAGGTTAATAATGAAGACAGGCTTTGCTCTTCAGAGACCATATGGGAAAAGAAATGAAGTAACCAGAGGATAAAGACAACTCCTTTCTGGACATCCAGAATGAATTCCTTTTTAGTGTAGAAAAGTTTATTATTTTGTAGTGTAGCAGTTTGGAAGTTATGCATTCAAAAATTATTTAAGGAAAAACTATCCTGTATAAAGCTGTACTTGTTTCCTCGGGTTATGCAGAAGCGTTTACCTGATAACCACAGACTTGCCCAGAGTTGCCACGGGTTTTTTTTTGCAGGCTGTTTTTGTTTTGAGGGGTGCAGGAGCAGTAGAGACAGTTTCTCCCTGTGCAGTTCAGGAAGGCCTTGGACTCTGTGTGATCAATCCTCCTGCCTCTGCCTCCTGAGTGCTGGGATTACAGGCATGCACAACCGTGTCCAGCTTTGCAAGCTATTTTAAATAAGAAAGTAGCTGATTTTTTGTTTGTTTGACTCACTATGTAGTCCAGACTGGCCTTGAACTTGTGGCAATCCTCCTGCCTCAGCCTCCTGAGTGCCAGGACTACAGGAGTGTGCCACCACACCCAGCTGTGGCTGATTTTTATCAAGTGATTTTTGGGATGGTACCTGATAGATGAAAACAGTCCACATTAGACTCCACCTTCTCTCCTACCCCCTGAAAGAGGAGAGAAGAGGAGCACTCTTCCCTCAGGGTGCTCGGTCTCTAAAAGTAATACACTGGATCTACTGAGTAACTAATTGTCCCAAATAAGAACATGGAAGGAGTCCACCAAGGTGATAAATGGTGTTTTGCTTGTTTGATTTTTTTGTTTTTTTCCGTCAGGCTATGAATCTGGGCAAGAGGGTAAATTTGTTGACAACTATTGGCTAGATGAAATAGATTTGGCACATTTCTGATAGTCCTCTGAAGAGCCCTATTCATTCTGCTGGTCCATTAAGCTCCCTCTAAATCTTTCTGGGGTCATGCCATGGCTCACGCCTGCAGTCCCATTACTTAGGAGGCTGAGGCAGGAGGATCACTACAACTTCAAAGCCAGCCTGGACTACATAGCCAGACCCTGTCTCCAAAAAAATCCCTCTGAGGCCAGATGCAGTGGGCGTGCATGTGCGTGCGTGCGTGCGTGTGTGCGTGTGTGCGCGCGCGCACGCGCTCGTGCATGTGTATTGGGGTGGGCGTGCTGGAGCTTGAACCTAAGCCCATGCCAAGCAGGAGTGCCGCAGGAGGCCGGCCAGGTGCTGGCTCTGGCCCTTCCATGACAGCAGCAATGAGCAGTCCGCCCCAGCCCCTTCCCTGTCTGCAGCTGCTCCCGAAAGTGAGATTTCCACACTGGCTCCCTTCCGTCTTCACTCCTGCTTAGACCCTTTCAGGGAGAGCACGCTGAGGAATGCAGTTAGTTTTATTCCGAATAGGCTCTGTTAATGAGTATGTCTTTAGCCTTACCAGGACAAAACTAGTTTTATAAGGTGGACATTTTAAATTATATGTTATTTGGGCTGATTTTTTGGGAGGCAAATTGTAGCATAAAGTACATTTACTTATTAATCTCATTAAAAGCCACCTTTAAGATTTTTTTACTGGTATATGTTGGGACTGCGAGCAATTGAGTTTTGGGGGGGGGGGGTTCCCACATTTTGTTTTGTTCTAGATTGTAACATGTGGAAATGGGCAGCCTTTAGTTTTTGTTTATCATCACTGTTTTCTACCAGTGTTTGTTTTGAATTAAATTCAAAATAAAGAATAAAAACACTAAGTACTTCAGAGAGTAGATAAAGGGAAGGCTGGCAAGGACTTCTAAAATCACTTTAATGGATTTTTCATAGCAGCTAATAACCCGGACTCTGAGCAAGCAATTGGGTGATCTCTTCAGTCACAGGCAACACCTCTAAAACTAGGGTGACATTTCCTGCCTTACAGGGTTGTTTGGATATTGAATAAAATAATGTGCCTGGCATAGTAGATACTCAACACATTTGTCTTTTTATCTTTGCGTCCTTAATGCCACAGTAGCATCTGGTACAGAAAAGTGGCTAATAAATGTGGTGAAACGGGTAGAGCCACAGCCTGGTGTGGCAGACTCAGTCCTAACAGATAATTACCAGGGTGTGAGTGGGTGCCACACACAGCTGTGTGAGCTGGGAGAAGCGGCCCAAGTCAGCTAGCACCAGAAATCCCAGAGGCCTCAAAGAGGAGGTGGTACTAACGTGAACCCTGAAGGCCTAGAATTTTGTCAGGGACTAGGAACACAGAAGCGACGTGTCAGAGTAAAGTCACAGGACCACACAAGTTCCCCTGAGAGGTGGGATAAGAATATGCAGCTATGGCTATGAAGACAGCAGGCCACAATCAGATTACAAAGCTCCTTTTTTCCATTAAGGATTTTGCACTTAGCCAGGAGACAGTCACTGAAAACATGAGAAAGTTTATTCATTCAACAAATTATTATCGACCAAATATTTGAGTGGCTATATGGTAGGCTAAGCACTGGAGAGGAAGGAAAATGAGTGCTGCCTTTATAGAGCTTACATTCTAATGGGGAGATGAGCACTGTGTAGGTTGTTATAATGTGTGGCTTTTAATCAGTGAGGTAGGAAACCACTGAAGCTGTTGTGTTGAGAATAAAGTGGATGGGGATGTAACTCAGCAGTTACAGAAATCTAAGCTAAAGGTAATGGTGTTTGCTTTTGGGTTTTGGGGGGGTTTTTTGGTACCAGGGATGAACCCAGGACCTTGCGCTTGCGAGGCCAGCGGCAGAACCACTGAGCTAAATCCCCAGCCCTAGGTTATAGCAGCATTGTAGCAGTGGAGAGGTAAAAAGTGGTCCGATTTTGGATAATTTGAAGGTAGAACGAATAAGTTGCTGACAGACTGGATATGTTTGGCAAAAAGGATGACTAAGATTTTTCAGCCTAATGAACCAAGAAATGGTGCTGCTATTTAATGAGATGGCAAAGACTACCGGAAGTGTGTCAGGAGCTGAGAGAGGCACCTGTTCCTTTGGAGGCGCCTCCTAGCCTGAAGGCGAAGCCAAGTGCAGCTGGTTATAGAAGCCTGGGGCCGAGGGGAAGGTCCTGACAGTCTGTGAGGCTGTTAGCGGATTATAGATGGGATTTAAAGCCATACCAAAAATGAGGCTTGATGAGATCACCCGGACAGTGCGACAGATCAGAGAAGAGGCCAAAGGACAGATCCCTGGGGGACTGCCCTGTTAGGGGTTTGAAAAATGAGAATTCAGGGTGGTGGCACACTCCTGTAATCGTAGCACCCTGGGATATAGCAGACACCTTCATCCAGGATTAGCAGGCTGTGGTGGCACTAGCTTCTTGTCCCTCCATGATTCGCCTGTGTTACATTGGAAGTAGCAGAGCTTGGCTGAGTCTACTCCCAGCCAAGGTCAACTGACTCCAGCTAAATCCTCCCCTCTGAATTAGCCATGTATTTTCTTCAGCACCGATATGCTATGCCCACATTCTCCAGTCCCACCTGCCTGATCCTTGTAATCAGCAGGTGTCCAAGGCTGCCCAGCTTCCCCCCCACACACTGGTGATGAATAAACACTGGACGTCCTGGGAGTCCTTTGTCTTTGCTGCCCAGAGCGGCTTAGATCAGCCCGAGACTCAGTTTCTCTCAAATCTCTGTCTCTGTGCTTCTTTTAATTCCCACTTTCCTATCTCGCGGACATTGTACTGGCTTGCAGGAGGCCAGGACCACTGCAGGGGTCTCTGGCAACTCCCATTACCCTTTCCCTATACTGGGGGGCTGAGGCAGGAGGATCAGAAGTTTGAGCCCAGCCTTGTGGGCCTAGTGACTTAGAGAGACCCTACCTGAAAATTTTAAAAAGGTGGGGGAGGCTAGGATGTAGCTTAGTATGAAGGCTCTTGGTGCAATCTCCAGTACCAAAAAAAGAAAAAAGAAAACATGGGACAGGTCTTTTGGGCAGAACCACCATTTTGCAGTAATTCACCAAAGTGATGAACACAAAGGGAAAGGGGAGAGGAACCCCAAATGTGTCCTCTAGGCCTTTTAGAAAGCGTGGAGTCAGGGCTGGCACAGCACCTGCCTGGCAAGCTCGAGGTCCTGAGTTCGATCCCCGGTACCAAAAAAAACCAGTGTGGAGTTGTTCCTTTGGCCACATGTGCAGATCTACAGAAAGGTGATACTGTACCCATCAGGGAGTGGGTGTGGCTCAAAAAGGAGCACCACACAGGTTACCGTGGCAGAACTGGGGTCTACAGCATTACCCAGCCTGCTTGTGGCATTGTTGTAAATAACCAAGATAAGGACGAGGTTCTTCCTGGATTGAGCATATTGATATGATTAAGCACATTTAATATTCAGCATGTTAAACACTCTTAAGAGCCAAGGTTGTTTCCTGCAATGCATGAGAACAATGATCAGAAAACAAAGGACGCCATAGAGAAAGGTCCCCATTACTGTTGAAGGTGCCCATGTGAGAGGCCAGTGCTGCAGGTGATAAAAAGAATTCAGCAACAGTCAGGGAACAGAGAAAACCAAAGAGTTTACTGTGCACTGCAAGGGAGCAGCGGGCAAACGCCAGGAGAGGACTGCACGGCCAGGAGCAAAGCAGGCACCTTTACGTTTGATTTTAATGCAAGGAAATGGTATAGGGATGTTATCTCAGGAGCGTTTCTACCAGGCCCTAGTTTGTTATTCATTTCTCTCAGTTCTGCGGATAGTGAATGTTCTGGGAGACTGAGTGATGTCTTGTGATAGGGTTCAGTGTTCTTAGCATTGATAGGGAAAAATAAAAGTTCTGAGTAGGGTCAGCAAATTTGTAAAGCTAACTGGGATTAATGGTCAAGGAGGTCAGAAAAATGTGTATTTGTGTCAAAAGCAGGCCTCTAATACTATACAGGGACAGGAGGAAAGGGTATTCTCTATGACTTGTCAAATAATTAGGACACCTAGTGAGTATGTGTAGTTCTTGCCAGACTCACTGTAGCTGCAGTTTGATCTTAAAGGAAAAATGGTCAAAGAACCATGATTCCCACACCTGTGTCCAGCTGAAGAGCCAGCCTGCTCCGCCCAGAGAAGCACATTTTGGGAAGGAGCCCAAGCATCTGGACCCTCCTCCCTGTAAATCCATGGCCTAAGCAGGGGGTGCAGTCAGCACCTGACTAGCAGGCGCTGCTCACTACTGCTTAAAAATGAAAAACAGCGCTCAGAGTAGTGCAGATGTAAGAAGTGTAAGAAAATAATTCTATTGCAGTGTACTGTTGTGATTGTTGAATATTTTCTTTTTTTTTTTGGTACCAAGGATTGAACTCGGGTCCTTGCGCTTGCAAGGCAGGCAGCGGAACCACTGAGCTAAATCCCCGGCCCTGTTGAATATTTTCTTAATGGAATAATTGTGGCACTTTTGCCCCAGAGTAATACTGACAGCAGGTGTTCATTGTGCCCCCAGTCACATCCTGGCTGTAGTGTTAAGGGTTAGTATTTTTCTTGCTGAGAGATATAAAGTGACTTAAAGAGCAACCGGTAGATTCTCAGTTGGCTGGAAAGCAGCCAGGTATTTATGAAATATTTATATTGGCTAAGATAGTTCCTCTAAGTCACCATGGAAAAAGATTGTCAAAAATAAATGGGAGGGGGCCGGGGATTTAGCTCAGTGGTTTCGCCGCCTGCCTCACAAGTGCAAGATCCCGAGTTCGATCCCCGGTACCAAAAAAAAAAGAGTGTCAAAAAATAAATGGGAGGTAATCTACTGCGTTAGGGTTAAGTGCAGGAAGAGTTAATTACTTGCAGATATATCCTAAATAGCTTAAGTTTTAAGGATCAGGAGTTTGCCTTTGAAGCACCCTATTTACAAATAAATGTTTAAACTGAGAGGGAGAGACAGAGACAGAGACAGACAGCTGAGACTGCTAGCTGAGCCGGAAAGGGAGGTTGGCTGGGGAAGCCACGGGAAGAGGGTGCGTTAGAGCAAAGGGCATCGCGAGCTCAGATACTGAGGCAGAGCTGTGTAAGATGGGCACTGAGAGCCAGCCTCTGGGTCTGGTGTTGCAGTCACGGTGCCCTTGCCCAGAGCCATCAGAACAGACGTGAGAAACTGAGGGCAGAGGTATCGGCACTCTCCAGCCTTCGTGTCACAGGAAAGAAACGGAAGGTGGCTGGAGGATGAGTGTCACCAACGTAGGGTTTCTCTGGGAGAGGAGGATGTCTGTCTGCTGATGGAAAGATCAGTGGGAGAGCGTGAACAATCTGGGCGAAGGAAGGACAGCCACTGGGGCAACCCTGTTATGGAAGACTTCAGCGCTAGGAATAAAAGACAGCGCATCCCTGCTCTCCGGAGAGGGGGCTCACAAACAAGTGGAGACGGTAAATGTGTGAAGCTTGTGGGTATCTCCTTTGAAGGCTCTGCCTTCTCGGTGAAATTGGAAGCAAGGACGTCATTCGAAAGAATGGAGGGGGCCGGGGATTTAGCTCAGTGGTTCTGCCGCCTGCCTCCCAAGCACAAGGACCCAAGTCGGATCCCCAGTACCAAAAAAAAAAAAAGAATGGAGAAGGTAGCAGTAGAGTTTTGAAAAGAGGTCTAGAATGGTTGGGAGCGTCTGAGCATATGTGGAATAAGGAATCACGGTGAGGGAAATGTCAAGATTTACTTGGCAGCAAATGCAGGGACAGTATCAGATTAATGGCACAAAGATGCAAGAAGGCCACTGTGCCGGTGGGGGAGGATGGGTGCGCTTCGCAGGCAGTCCAGGTCTGTGCTGTTGGAGCGGTCGGCATGCAGATAGTAATGGAGACTGCGGCTGTGGTGCAGTGGGCAGAGAGGAGGCACAGGAAGACAGGCCCCAAACTCAGAAGGGTCTGCGGGGGAAGTAGGAAGGAAAAGCAGGAGGAAGAGGGAGAAAGAAGATACAGAAACCAAGAAGGGGTTTCTTTGTGGAGGGAGCCAAGATGGGGTTTCCTGCGCGTCCTGAGGGTTGATTATCTGGGAAGTTAGTGCTGGTGAAGTGGCAGGGCGGGGCTGCATTTCACTGTTGGTTGAGGAACAAAGAGAAACTAGAAATACTGACAGTAAATGAAGACTGCTTCCAAGTTGTAGAGGGGAAGGCCTTTGTGGGCCTGGAACGGCGCCTCTTGCAGTGATAACAGCTTCTGGAAAGCCCCAGAGGCATAAAGAAGGAATTAAAATAAAATCTAAATCCATATGTTTCCTAACCATTTGATTCTTCAGTAATTTGACGCTTTGTCTTTTTAAAACTGATCAATATATGGCTCTCCTTAGGAAAAAAAACTGAAGTATGCTTCTATCCAGTTGTGTGTGTCCCTAGGCTCACTTGGTAAAAACACCCCAGACCTTTTCCATGAAAGCTCTTGAAACAGGAAAATACGCAGCAGTATCCTCCTCCATGTATTCTCATTCTCTGCCAGCCAGACAAGTGTTGGTTGAAAACTGCTTTTTCTTGGTTTGGTTTTTCAGGATGTAAGAGGACAGTGGAAAATGTCCACTGAGCAGACTTCTTGGACAAGCCTGTCCACCCTTCAAAAGGTGGCCCTGGGCCTCGGGATCCCCGCCAGCGCAGCAGTGGCCTACATCCTGTACCGCCGGTACAGGGAGAGCAGGGGTAAGTGGCCCCGCTGCAACTGCTCCCACACTCAGATTACCTTCCCGCCTTGTCGGATTAAGATGAGAACTCTTTTCTTGTCAGACTGGGTGGTGTTTGTTGAGATACAACTGGCTTTCTGTGAGGACTATTTGACTGAAAATAGTTTTTCTTCCTTTGCCTGTTCTTACTGTGAAGCTAGTCTGTGAAATGAATTTGTAATTCCATTGATCTGTTCCCACTAGCAAAATCAATGTGGCATTATTTTTAAATATATACTCTTATGTATATGTTCCTTATTTTTAAGTAGTTGTTAGGGAAAGGTGGTCCCCACACAGGGTAGACCCAGAGAATAGGACCTAGAAAAAATACGTAAGGTACGGAGGAGTCAGGAGAAATTTTAGATACCTCAGGCAACTTCAGGCCTCAGTCTTCTCCAGGTGTTGTCTTGGGGAAAGTAGTTTTCCTGAAACCTCTTCTTTGCAGTCTGCTTTTCCTATTTTAGCATCTGAAATAGTATCCCAAAGAAAATGCTAAATTGTGGTTTTGGGGGAACAAGGGGGCCTGGGGCTTGAACTTGGCTTCTTGCATGCTAAGCCCCAGCCCTGAGCCTGCCTTTGGGACCTAACTCCCACTCTGCTCCTGCTTCTCCTTGTCACTGGGATTGAGATCCCCGGTTTGCCCTTGTTTTTCTGACAGCCAGATTGAGGGCAGGGGTGGTGGCAGCTTTGAGTGTTTTCAGTCTGATCAAATAAGCCATGGTCTCTGCAGAAGAGCGGCTGACATTCGTGGGGGACAACGACATCGAGATAGAGATGCGGGTGCCCCAGGAGGCTGTGAAGCTCATCATCGGCCGGCAGGGAGCCAATATTAAACAGGTGAATGAGCAGGCCCGTTTCCTTCCTCAGACCCCATATCACAAACCACTCCCATGCTATGTGTATTTTAGAAAGAAAAATGGCTGAGGAGGTGGCTCCGAGGTGGAGTGTTTGCCTGGCATACGCCAGCCCTGGACTCATACCTACACACACACACACACACACACGCACACACACACACACACACACACGCACGCACGCGCGCGAACATTTTTAAAGCTAACCGTGCTGTTTCCCTTCCAGGGATTAGCGCTTCTCCCTAGAAAATGAGTGCTTGAAATAGGAGTGTTTTATTGGATGAATCTCAGCTCGTGATAGCTTGAACTAGTCTTTCCTATTACAGAGTCTCATTAATTGACAGTAAATGTAGAATGGTTACCTAGTTTTTCTTACCGTCTTCCATTATCCAGTTAAAACGCCAAGAAAACAAAATCCTCATTTCTCTAATCCAAATAAAATGGGGAAAAGCTTGTAGATTCAGAGAGGAATGGCTTTGAATTAACTGCTGTTTGGGGCTGCCTTGGTCACTCACCTCTTTCATAAGCAGAAGTAATGACTGATTACGCATCCTGATTTAGCTGATGCTTTTGGTTTACTGTGTCCACCTCCGGGGTTTTGTTGATACTCCTCTTAGCTGTGCCCAAGTGGGAGCTGCTCCTCCACCTCTCCCTCTCTCCCTCTCTCCCTCTCCCTCTCCCTCTCCCTCTCCCTCTCTCTCTCTCTCTCTGTCTCTCTCTGCAGCTGCGGAAACAGACCGGTGCTCGGATCGATGTGGACACAGAGGATGTAGGCGAAGAGTGCGTCCTGCTGATCAGTGGGTTTCCCGTTCAGGTGTGCAAGGCCAAAGCTGCGATCCATCAGATCCTGATGGAGAACACCCCGGTGTCTGAGCAGCTCTCAGTGCCCCAGAGGTCTGTGGGCAGAATCATAGGTACCACTGGACGGCTTCCTCTGCTGCTCCCTTTCTTCTTTACCTTTGCCTTTCTTTCGTACCTTCCCAAGGGCTTTCCTGGCCTACTCCCTCTTTACCTTGCCGTGGGGGGAAAAAAGTTGGATATTGAGATCAGAACTTTACTTTCTTTGAGAAGTGAGGGTAAAACAGAACCCATTACCTCAGAAAGTTGTATGATCTGAGGTGGGTGAGTGGCACACACCTTTCATCATAACACTGATGGAGGCTGAGACGGAAGGATTGCAAGCTTGAGTCCCACGTGGACAACTTAGTTAAGACCCTCTCTAAAAAAAAAGCAGGGGGCTGGGAATATGGAGTGCCCCCGAGCAGAAAGAAAAGACAGAAAGTTGTATGGCTGAACCTTACATATAGGTTCCAGAAGTGTTCTGGTAAAGGTATTCATCTCATAGTAGATGTTTCTAGGTGAACTAGCAATGTTCGTGCTAGCCCGGGTCACGTGAGACAGTGCACTCAAGAGCATTTGTTATGCTTTCTGAATTAGGGTCATTTTTTTTTTTTCCCCCCGGTACTGGGGATGGAACTAGGAACCTTGCGCTTGCAAGGCAGGCGGCGGCACCACTGAGCTAAATCCCCAGCCCTGGGTCCTGCTTTAGTGCTGCTGTTAGAGGCAGAGAAATGTCCTGTCCCCTGTTCAGGGATAAAATGGATAAAGCAGGGTCCTGTGTTCAGTAACTCCAGGCTTCTATTCATCATCTTACATTCTGTTCCGTCTGGAAATGAGAACTTAACTCCCTTCTCCTAGTACATACAAAATATGGATTTCTCTAGTAGTTAAGGTTGGAAAGGACAGGGGTTTTTTTGTTGTTGTTTGTTCTGTTTTGTTTTTTGGTACGGGGGATAGAACTTGGGACCTTGCGCTTTCGAGGCAGGCGGCAGAACCACTGAGCTAAATCCCTGGCCCAGGGCAGTTTTTTATGTGCTGTTCAATGTAGGGAGAGGCGGCGAGACAGTTCGTTCTATCTGCAAGGCCTCAGGAGCCAAAATTACCTGTGACAAAGAATCGGAGGGGACATTACTACTATCAAGACTTATCAAAATCTCAGGGACACAGAAGGAAGTGGCAGCAGCCAAGGCACGTAACTCACAGACCTGACTCATGGCTAAGAGTGAGAAGAATCCGAGACCCCCATCCTGGGTCAGTATCTGGCTGCATACATACTGCCCATTCGCCTCTTTTCCACAGCATTTGATACTGGAGAAAGTGTCAGAAGATGAAGAGCTTCGGAAGAGAATCGCCCATTCTGCAGAAGCCAGAGTTCCACGCAAGCAGCCAATCAGCGTGAGAAGAGAGGAAACAGAGTCGGGCGGCGCTGGGGAGCCAGCTCTGTGGGAAAACGCCAGCTCCGGCTCTGGCGGCAGGCAGGCTGCGGCCCTGGCGGTTCCTGCCCGCAAAGGAGGTGGTGACCCGACTGTTGTGAGACCAAAAGAGGGTTCCTGGGAGGAAGCTGATCATGGCTTTCAGGAGTCTGGAGCCCAGGCCAGTCCAGAGAAGTCCATTTTTGAAAGTATGTAACAAAGAGGGGCGCGAGCGAGCACAAAGACCCAAGTTTGATCCCCAGTACCAAAAAAAAAGAGGGAACATATTAGCCATGTGAAAGATAGGAGTCCTGGTTTAACTGACCCCAAATAGGAAGCAGTAAAAATCCTATTTTTATGACTGCACGTATAAGTCTGTCATTCTAGATAATAACTTTCTGGTGAATTTTACTTAGATTAATACTAAGCATTAATGATATTTTTCTGAATATAAACCAGCTAATGGTAAAGGAAAATAAGATAGAAATATGCCAACACAGGAAACTCGACTGAGTAATACATCAAATAATTGAGTTTTTGTTTTATTCTTAGACATTTGTTAAATAAATTCTCAATCTGATTTTTTCTTTTGCCTGACTCATTACTGTTTTTTTAAAAAATCACTATTGAAGAAGAACGGAAGGGTCTTGAGCTTTCTCCTCTACACAGGGGTGCTGGCGTGGGCAGGGAGACCAGGGCCCGAGAGGCTCCTGGGCCTGTCCAGGATCACAGGATGAGACCGTGGTAGAATGGGATCTGGGCCAAGCAGAGCTGCTGTCCATGTGCCTTTTATTGACCTTGCTGCAGCTGGCAGATGGAGGATTTACCTTCATTGTACATGGTGTAGGGTTTGAATGCCACAGAACAGGCCAAAAGACTGTAGAGTGTTACATTATCATTTACTTACATAGAAAGGGACAGAAAATAACTTAGTGCGTTTCTTCAGGATGTCTTCATATGATCCAGCCAGTTTTCAAAGGGTCCATAGCCACTCAGTATTTGTACCTCTCACCCCCCACGCATGCTCCCCGTGCCCGCCAGAGTTGGTTCTGAGGAGGCCATGCCCTTATCCCTATGTTCAGTCCCCAGTCCCGACTTCAGTTTCCATGCTGATGAGTACCTGGAGGTCTACGTGTCTGCGTCTGAACACCCTAACCACTTCTGGATCCAGATCGTTGGCTCCCGCAGCCTGCAGCTAGACAAACTCGTCAGTGAGATGACCCAGCACTATGAGAACAGTCCGGTGAGTCGTCCCAGAAAGGGCTGGGCTTGGATAGAAAGGAACCCAGCTCCTTCGCTGTAATGCGTTCTCCTCCTCTTCCTTCTGGCATCCCCGTTTATCTGCTAATTAGCTACCACTTCTGACTACCCCTCCGGACCCCATCCCTGTGTACAGCCGGAAGACTTGACTGCTCGCGTGGGAGACATTGTAGCAGCGCCCTTATCTGCAAATGGTTCCTGGTATCGAGCTCGGATCCTTGGCACCTTGGAGAATGGGAACTTGGACCTCTATTTCGTTGACTTTGGAGATAATGGAGATTGCCCGCTGAGGGACCTCAGGGCTCTCAGGTCGGTGCCGAGGCCAGGGTGGAGTCAGCTGGGGTTCCAGCTGTGGTCTCACCGCTGCTCACAGATGCTGAGCTGCTAGTACTGAGCACTTATCACCCGGGGGTTCGGGATGGGAAGGGGAAGCTGCTCACCGAGTGCAGATGATTTCTTCTTCTACCAGCTTAGTTCTGTCTAAAAGCAAGGAAGGCCCTCCTGGCCCTGGGACGCTAACTGCAGTTTGTTTCGCTTTAGGAGTGACTTCCTAAGCCTTCCGTTTCAAGCCATAGAATGTAGTCTGGCACGGATCGCCCCCTCAGGTACAGCAGCCACCCACCCACTGACCTTGCCTTCAGGTAGAGCCACCTCCACGAGAGGAACTTGCACCTTCTCGAACATTTTGAGTTCGAGAGTTTCCAGTGCCTTTTTTCTTTAACAGCACTAGAAAGCATCAGGTAGAAACTTGCCCTGCAGTCAAACCCAAACCCAGACCCTTCCTGTGTAGACGGGCAGGAACCCTGTTGGGGCTGCCCCTTCCGAGGCACCCACACACTGCAACCTTCTGCCAGGGGAGCAGTGGGAAGAGGAAGCGCTGGATGAGTTTGACAGACTCACCTACTGCGCTGACTGGAAGCCACTGGTGGCCAAGATCTCTAGCTATGTCCAGACCGGGATCTCCACCTGGCCAAAGATCTACTTATATGATACCAGCAATGGAAAGGTAAGAGGGCTTCACTCAGGCTCACTGTATCTTCTGTGTTTTCCTGATACTGCTTACATTCTCTTTCCCAGAAACCCTTAGGTGATATTCCTCCTACTTTGGAAGACTCTGCTCACCATTCCATCAAAGGAGTCTTTAAAGTGTCAGTCCTAGCTGTTCTGTCCCATTTCCTCAGATTTGCCCTTCCTGACAGAACATCATTCCCCTTTTTCCTTCTCAGAAGCTGGATATTGGGCTAGAATTAGTCCGAAAAGGATATGCGATTGAGCTTCCTGAAGATGTGGAAGAAAACAGAGCTGTCCCAGACATGTTGAAGGACATGGTAAGCCGTTACTGTCACTTAGGGTGCTTCTCCCCAGAAATGCAGTGCATGGAGACACGGTGAGGGCTTCTGGTCAGGACATTTCATTACCTTCCAGTGAAATGAAGCCTGTGCCTGTCTGGGAGCCATTTTCTCTTGTTTTCATGCCCTCAGGCCACTGAAACAGATGCTTCTCTCGCCAGCATGCTGACTGAGCCCAGAAAGAGCCCTGGAGAGCTAGCACATACCCTGTCCTGCCTCAGCTTATCAGGTACGAACTGTGTTGCCTGGCTGCAGCATCTGTGGAAGTTAGTTTTCCGCAGTCAGCCTCTCCAGACTAAGGGGCTTACGTTAACGCTCGGTTCTTAGGTCGGTAAGCACCAAGAGCCCACTTTGCGCCTGGGCCCCACTGGCACTGCCTGCCAGAACAGGGCAGCATCTAATTTTTTCCTCACTTCCGTTCAATAGAAGCTGCCTCTATGTCTGGTGACGATAACCTTGAAGACGACTACTTACTCTGAAGCCTGGGCCTCCGCTGCCTCAGCCATCTGCTTTGCTGTGAGTGGAGCTAGCTGTCCGTAGCAACAGGAAGTAATGAGGGTGACAGCAGGGCGGGCCTCACCTGTGTCCTAGCTTCATCTGTTTCTCTGCAGCTGCTTTCCTGCGTGTGACTTGCTCCCAGATTGAGCCCTCTTAAGCTTTTTGTCCCTGTGTTTGTGTCTTTGGCAGGATTTGGCACAGGATTTGCTTCTGGAGAGAAGATGACGATAGATACATGCAGTCCTTCCCTCGTTACACACTCAGTCTGGCTTGCTGTGGACCAAATCCCTTTTCACCTTGGGGCCAAAGGAAGACGCATACGTCCCCTTCCCGTGTCACCCACCCTGATCCCGCCTGTGTCTTCCAGTGTTTGAATGCCGCTGTTAGTTCCAGCTCTTCAGCCTCAGGCTGGGCCCCGTGCCAGTCACAGTGCAGACTGTTGCTAGGCCGTGTCCTTTTTGAGGCTGAGAAACAGCCACGGTTTGGTTATTGGGAGCAGCGATGACTGCAGACTTGTGACTCACCTCCCCAGGTGACTCTTGCTAAGGGTAGCGTTAGAGGACTGGACTCAAAGACTCAAGTTGAGTCAGAAAGAAAAGGCAAAAATTAGCATAAATATATGAAAAAGCCTTGGGAGGCAGGACGAGAGGCCACCTCCCGTCTTCCATTGCTGATATGTTACTGGAGACAGGTTCCCTAAACACTGCTCCAGCTGTTTCTTGTGAACCTTAGTTAAAAAGAAAAGGAGAGAGGTGACTCGGGAAATATTCTGAATTGCTAGTATATTATCTATATGTGTGAAATACACTGAAAGAGAACATACACAGTTTGGTTAAAATCATTTCAGGGATTCTTTGCTAAATAAAGTTCTCAGACTTATCTAAAAACAAATGTTGACTGAATCACGGAACGGGAGCTGGCCTGTGGGTGCCTCACAGCTTGGGCTGCTCTGTACGCGGGGTCTCTCCTGCACACACTCCCGTCCTACATTTCAGGGTTGACCATTCACCAAGAACCAGAAGCAGTGTAGGTTTACCCTCTGTAAATAAGACCTCACATTGTTTGGCCCTGGGCAGACAAGAGGGAGTCCTAGGAGGATTAGCAGTCTAGCAAACTGGATTCCAGGAGAAGGTCTCCACTGTAACTTCCCTAAGACTCTGGCCCCGTTTCCTCACAGCGTCTTTCCATCTCTGACAGTATTACGAGGCTCCAGTGAACTGTGAAGGTCCTTGAAAGCACATAAATGTAGAGTGACATGTGCGATCGAATAATGGCAATGAACTGGAAAACAAAATGGCAGGTTAGGGCGCCTCACACCAGGCCTTCTCCTCCATCTAGGAACAGGGAGGTCCGACTGCACACTACCTGGCAACCATCTTCCCCACCACTAGTTTGCAGGTTTTTCTTCTCCAAAAGGGTCTCGAGGAGGAGCAACGCTCAGTAACTCTTGCAGTGTTGGAAGCGTCCAGGCATCTCTGGTGCTGGTGGTGCAGTGAGCTCAGGGATGCCCGCGCGGCCCTGGAATCAGGGCCACCATTGGGCAGGGTCGTGAGGCCCCAGTCCCAGTGGCCTTGTGGACAGTGGTCCCCAGATACAGAGTACTCTTAGGACTTCCTGCTCTGGCAGATTAGTGTCTCTTACCTGCAGTTTGCTATCACACATAGAAATATTTTTTAAAAGCAAATATTTAAGTCAGTTGTCAAATCAGTATCCAAATGAACATGGAAGGGGCACAAATATGACAGACACAATCCAGTATCCTATCAAAATACCACAGAAAGCTAATGTGACCTTTACATTCTGTCATTTACATTCCACCCCTAAGGCTCCTTGTCACTCCAGTATAACCCCGAGCTTGCTGTCTGGAACCCTCTTCTATGCTGCTACTTCTGTCATCTCCCAAGGGATCATAGGATGAGGTGTGATTGGAAAATAAGAGTGAATGTTTTTAAAACCTTTTTAAAGTTTCAAAGACATGCTGCCATTAATCCCCACAAAAATACTCCCTCTCACTTTCAGACGTACTTAGCCCATCATTCCCACCACTTCCGTAGGCAGTTCCAGGAGTCCTCTTGTATCTTTAGTTGCCTGTCATGGCTGCCTCCTTACCTGATTCCATTCAAACATTTACTTTTCCTGAACATTTCAACTTTAGGGAAGAGCCAGAAGTTGCACAATGCCAGATCCAGTGAATAAGGTGGGTGAAGACACACTGTAATGTTTGTATCTGACAGATGACCATAAAATACAGTGGCTATTTAATTCCAGTAAGACACATTACCATTAATCCTCTTCCAAAAACTCCTTGCTTTGAACACATCCCATTCCCTTCACAGTGTATCTTTAATAAAGTCTTAGTGTAAGCATTCACCCTATCTTTCCATCACCCTTTGTATCCTCTGGTTTTCTCCATACCCAAAGAGAAGGAATTGGTGCTTGTCTCCAATTTGAACTGAAGTGTGGCTGAGTCTTTCTAAACTGCCCAGTTGATTGGTCCTTGCCTTGGCAGGTGCTCAGTAAATGGTTACACAGGGAAATAGTTTGGGGGTAGCAGGAAAGCAGAAGGGACATAAAGTCCTGGAGTCCTTTCCCTCTCAGAGGCTCAGGCCTTCTGATCTGTCATTATCTCGTGCTCATTCCCCTCCAAGTGACTTCCGCTCCTACCCCAAGAAACAGTGCATAGCATGATTGCGCTGCCCTTTATTCCTAGGATGGCGGTGACCTACATTACATCCTAGGCCCTCGAGTCCTGCATGTCACGGCTTCTGGCCCCTCACAGAGGTGGAAAAAGCATATTTAGGAAGACTCACTGGGCAGGTGGCCACAGTCCCTTTCAAGCGGATACACCATGAAGATGACATTGCCCCAGGGAGGAAGGGCAGGGTGATCTGGTCTGACCACATGAAAGCCCATGTAGCTGAAGGCCCGCAGCAGGTCACCTGTGAAAGGCCAGAAGGAACAGAACTCAGAACCTTGATTGTGTGCCCCCTAGAGATCTGGTCTCCACTAGGGAGGGCTCTGGGGAGCGGGGCAGCCATTCGGCTGTGCTTTGGGGTGAAACAGACCCACCTAGGCTCTGCCCTGGCTGTAACACTTGCTTACCTTGGAACATTCCTGGTTAATCCTTCGATTCTTAGTTTTCTCATGTGTAAAGGGAATCAGAGCATCTTCCTCGAAGAATTTAAGGTGGGTTTATGAGGCACTCAACATAGTGATGGCACAGTCATCTCTTAGGAGGTATCTACTATCGATACTGCATTGACGATCCTTTGTCCTATATCCAACTAAGTAAACTTCTAGAATCTAAAGGGACGAGGTTATAGTTTCCATAACATTTTCTGGGCATCTGGTTATGTATGGTCCTGGCCTCATGCTCAACCCTGTGACACTGTAGATGCTTCAAGCCTTTGCCATCCTTTCCTTCAGGCTGACCATATCCCTTGAGTGGATTCTGTGTAATTTCACAATGCTCCCTCAGTCTGGCCTCTGACATTGCCGGTACAGCTTCCTGATAGTCCAGCTGTAACCTGGATGTCCTGCTGGAACAGAATGCTAGCTATGTGCCTTAATTTCCATTGTGGTAGGAAGGGAGAAAACCCCTGAAATGCTGGAGGGTGGCTCTTTCAAGAGTAAGCGAAGAGCGACTCCTGGGAAGGAAAAGGAGTTGTTAGCTGTCTCAGTAGAGAGGGCAAGGAGGACAGGAGATCCCCACCTTTCTCCTTCCGGTCGTTTTGGAAGTTCACAAACACGGAGTCCACATTGGTCTTCTGCTCCACATACTCCAGTGTTGCTGTCAAACTAGGGCACAGAGAGAAAATGTTTAGCTAACGCAGAATCTAAAAAGACACCAAATTGGCAAAGGAAATCTTCCTGGTCACCTCTTACTCTGCACCCACCCAAGCCAGGAAATGAAAGTTGCTAAACTAGCTCTGGTAACTTTTTGTCAGAAGTCGAGGGACTGCACACAACTGGACTGAGGTGCAGGCAGCAGAAGGTCCAGGAAGAAGGGGCTCTTACGTGGCTGGAAACTGCTGGGTAGACAACTTCCAGATCCCCACTTGTGTTCCTGAATCTGAGTCCAGCAGCCTCCCATGGACCATCACCCCGTGAACCCCAGGCCCAGCACAGCTCCCAGGCTTGGCTCTGGCTGTCTGGGTGGTTTGCGTGTTTGCAGCCCCACTTGCTGACTGTGACTGATGGCGGGGAAATTCCCTCCCCGCCAGCCCATGCCGGCCATCACCTTTCTCGGTTGCCTTGGTCCAAGGCCTGATAGGGGAGATCCAGGAAGAGTCGGTGGTCACAAAGAAGGCCGTGCCAATGGGCAGAGCTGTGTGGGGTGAGGCGGAAGTGGAAGTCTACCTGCACTGGGTCCTGGTGGAGCAGAGGGTCAGTAGAAAGTACTGTCAGGTTCCCAGCCTGAAAAAAAGAAATTAAAATGAGAGCAATGGTCTCCCGCTTCTGCGCTCCTCTGGCCCTCCAGTCAGGTCGCAGGCAGGTTTGGGGACATCTGGGGAAGCCAGGGAGGGAGTAGATGCAGGAGCCTGGGAGAAGCGGAGCCAATGTCTCCCCTAATCCTAGGGACTAACGGCCATCCATTACTGAGTTCTACTTGATATCAAACCTGGAATCCAGACTGCCGGTTGACCTAACCCTGGGCTGCACTAACTGTTGAGAATCTCCGTGTTTTGTGTTGGTTTTGTGGTACTGGGGTTGGAACCCAGAGCGCTCTACCCAGCACGCATGCACACCCACACTCACACACACTCGCACACACCATCACCAGCACCACCACCTTTTAAAAGTGTTAAATTTCGAGGCAGTGTCTCACAGAGTTGCCCAGGTAGGATGTGAACTTGGGACTCCCTGCCTCAGCCTCCCGCAGTGTTGGTATTACGGGCACGTGCCACCACACCTAGCCAGAATCTCACTGTTCATGTCAGACTCAGAGAGCAGACTGGTCGTGTCTTGCTCTGTTTTGTTTTGAGACAGTCTTACCATGCTGCCCAGGCTGGCCTCAAACTCCTGGGCTCAAGCAATCCTCTTCCCTCAGCCTCTCAAGTAGCTGAGACACAGACTTAGCACCACACCCAGCTAACTCACTGCTTACAGCTTTAGTATCCATTTCCTTTCTCACTCTACTCTCCTCCTCTTTTTCATCATATGGTTCTCTTAAATTCTCCATTTCTCACTTAAAACGCAGAGGTCATGACCAGGCATGTTCCCGTAATATAACGCAAGGGAAGGTGCAGGAATTCTGGATTCTAGACCCAGCTTTACATCCCAGAAGTCTGCCCTACCTCTGTTCCTACTTCCTCTCTTCCTACCCTGCTTTTCACTAGCAGCTGGATGACCTGGACTGAAGATCTCTGGCTAGAACCCTTGCCCATAAATACAGCGATGAGGCAGCTTTCACACATGTGCTCTAGCTCTAATTCTCGGATGCATTTTCCAGTAGGCATTGCCCCTCCTGTGCCAGGCATCGTTTCAGCAAGCTCACAGTCCACTTACTGAGTACAGCACTTTAGGCTGGTCTTGGTCTGTCCTGTGCTCTGTACTTCTGCCCGCCTGGAGGCCTGCTAGGGACTCAGGAGCACTGCAGGCAGCAGCGGGGCCGAAGGGTCAGGTCCTCCTCTTCCTTGTAAGTGATGCTGGTTGGAAAAGAAAGACCGCAATTTATGCTGGCATCTCGGCACACTGGCGAGCTAAGGCTGTGTCTTATGTGCTGTCTGTGGACCAACATGTTTCCAGTTCCCAGGCCAGCAAAATGTAAAAATTCTAAGTTTCAGGCCAGCCTCCCACTTGATTTTGGTATCATTTCCTGTCACTTGGGAAGATTTCAAATTTTTGTTTTTCCTTACAGTTTATATAGGTTACAAACAGAGATGAAAACAAGTACCTTTTATAACAACAAGGCAGCATCTTCTCCCGGAGGGTGATCCGGTATTTGTAACAGTAAAGGTAGTAGGCGTATGGTGACCAGGTGGTTCCGTGTTTTTCCCCTCTTGGTGTAAGAAAGGGAGGAGAGAGAGGGGTGGGACCTGTTACAAGGCAGTTTCTCTGTTCAGTGCCTCCCAGCGGCAAAGTGAGGGTCAGGGCAGGTGGCAGAGGTTCAGGCAGCCTTGTCCATTGTGACCTGGTGGGCACTGTGACATAGACAGGAGGTCAGCCCTGTGTCACCTCAGGCCTGGACTGCCCCACCCTGTCCTTTAGCCGGGTTCACAGTCAATTAGTATGCACTTTACAACGATAACAATGGTTAAAATTCTTCTCTACTGATTGGCAAACAGCCCTGTCTAAGCATTCACGGCCACCTACCCTGTCCCTCTGGGACACCCCTTTTCCCTAAAATCCAGCAGCTAAAGGGTTGGTGCCTGGCACTGCAGGAGGCTTCTGAGGCCTTGATCCTGCATCGAGCTGGTTAGCTGGCTCCCAGTTCAGTATTTTTACTACCGGTATCATCCCTGCCCTTAACCCAGAGATGGTACAGATTACTGAACTTTCTCCATTGCCAGGTAAGGGAGGAATCACTAAACACTCCTAGAGGCCCAAACAGCAAATGGAAATTGGGGGCGCTGCAGGGTAGGGCTATAGCAAAAGTGGGAAGCTCATCCCTATCTAAACTGCAGCAGGACTCAGCTCCGTCTGATTGCTGTGCAGGAACACAGCAGTGTCTGATCTTATGATTTTTCAACAGAAACTAGAAAACACTTGGAGTGAACTTCCTCAATATTTAAGTATTAGCTACTAACAAAAATAGATGAGAAAAACTAACACTGTGAGCAAAATTTGGTCCTGTGGCCACCAGTTTGAGGCCTTTACATATTCCTTTGTCATTCAATAAATATCGAGGGCCTACTATGACCAGGTACTATCCTAGTGCTTGGGATATGTCAGTGAACAAAATAAAGATCCATGAAAAAAATAAATAAATAAAGATCCATGCCCTATCGGGTCTCTTCTAGAACCAAGAGAACAAACCTATTAAGTAATATCAGCAAATAGCTGCTGTGGGTTGGGGGAGAGCAGAGAAGGATCCAGAGTGTGAAGGCACTGTGCAGGGATGTGATAACAAGATGTTCTGAGTGAGTCTCACTGAAAAGGTGACACGAAATCACAGATTGGGGGAGCTAAGCCAATACCTGGGGATAAGAGCATTCCATCTAGAAGCAATAGCCAGTACAAATGCTCCCACTGAGAAATATGCCCCAGGGTTTTCAAGTAACCGCAAGGCAGCCGTTGTGGGTGGGGCAGTCTAAGATATAGGGAAAAAGAGCTGATGGGGCCAGTGTGTGGAGGCCCTGATAGACCTTTCTATGATTTTTTATTCTGAGTAAAGGGGAAGTCATTGGAAAGTTTTGGGTGGGAGAATGACATAATCTGACCTAAGTTTTTGTTTTGTTTTGTTTTTGATACTGGGGATTGAACTTGGGTCCTTGCGCTTGCACAGCAGGCAGCAAAACCACTGAGCTCAATCCCCGGCCCTTGACTTAAGCTTTTTAAAAATATCCTTCTATCCGGGCATGGAGGTGCACACCTGTAACCCTAGCACTCAAGGGGCTGAGGTAGGAGGATCACAGCCAGTTAAGAGGCCAGCCTGGGCTATATAAGGAGTTCAAGGCCAGCCTGGACTACATAGTGAGACTCTGTCTCAAAAATTAAATAAATAAAATTAAAAATATCCTTCTGATTGATATAAGCTGTAGAGATCTGTTGGAAGATTGCTGCAGTAATCCATGAAAAAAAATTTCAAGGTGCAGTAGTGGAGGTGGTAGCAAGTGGCTGGATTCTGGAAAGGATTTGAAAGTAGACCCCACAGGATTTCCTGATGAACTATGAGATAAAGAATTTAAGACAAGGAAAAAACGGAAACAAAGCCTTTGTAAATAGGGAAGGGTGGAGGGGCTGAAGGGAGGGCAGGGAATGGGGAAAAAATAAGAACCCAGATATGTCATGTAAAGGTACAAGTTCCCAATGAGAAATGTAAATGTATTGTATACCTAAAATGTACCAATAAAAGAATTTAAGGGGGAAAAAAAAGAATTTAAGACTTGAAAGAATGGGTTTCCATCAACTGAAATGGGAAAGGCTGCAGTGGGGGCGGTTTGGGAAGAGAGGGGGTCAGAAATCAGTTTAATTTGGGACAAGGTAACTTTGAGATGTCTGTTAGACATATAAGAGGAAATACATGTATAAGCAGATATTCTAGTGTGGAGTTTGTGAGACGTCTAGGATGGAGATAAAAATATGGAAATCATTGGTATATAAATAGCATTGCAAGCCAAGACTAGATGAGGAGAGTGTGCATTGAGGAGAGTAAAAGTCAAAGACTGAGTCCTGAGGACACTTTAACAAGTGAGGAGAGCGGGCCAGGGATTTAGCTCAGTGGCCCCACGCCTGCCTCGAAAGTGCAAGGTCCTGAGTTCGATACCCGGTAACGCCAAAAAAAAAAAAAAAAGTGAGGAGAAAAGATAAATCAGTAAAGGAGACTGAAAAAGACAGAGTCCTGAAAGCCAAGCAAATATTTAGAGGATCAACTGATCCTGCTTAAGGGTCACATGTTGAAACACAGCATCTTTCTGGTCTTCTCTGCCAAACAGACTTTCATACTGGTTTTTGTTTGTTTGTTTTGTCTTTCATTTATTAGTACATAATGTTTACATTCCTTGTGGGAAGTTGGTACATTCCTGAAGTGCCTGGCCCTACCGTGGTTCCTTTTTTCTATGGCTTACATCCCTTGTGACTGAGAATCCTTCAAAAACTGCAGTAACCATTAAGGGTGAGACTTCCTGGGCTTGGCGGTTTTCCAGAGGATCCCATCTTTCTGCTACCTTTAGGTAGATTTGAAAAGTGAGAGCAGTGTGTTTCTTCCGTCAATGTCCGGTTTTAGAATGTCAATCAAAGTGGCCTCGGCACCTAGAGCACTGTGCAGTGAAATGGTCTTTTCTCAAGAAATCCACCTACTCATTCCATTATCTATCAATAATTATGGGTGCCCACCACCTCTACCCAAAAAAAGAGAGGAGAAAAATGCTAAACCAAGAACATTTCTTTCCGAGTTCCTAAGGGCGTTGGAGAAGCAGCGAGGAAAGGTCCTTCCAGCAGATCCTCCTCTTCCACTCCGCTTCAGCCCAGACTAAAGCCGCGCCAGCTCAGGCGCGCCGCGGGCAGCCCCGGCGGGGCCTTTCCTGCCTCCCGGCTCAGGGGTCCTTCCTCAGGTCTCCTGCGGCCCGGCATCATGGCGGCTCTTGTCTTTGCTGCCCCCGGTAGAGCTATGCTGCGAGGAGTTCGGGAGCTGCTCTGGCCGCGACTTGAAGGGAGCCTGGAGCGCGACTTCAGTCTTTCTCACCATCGGGTGAGGGCCAGGTTTGGGTTGTGGGATCCTTGGCCTTGGTGAGGCTATTTATGCTGGAGCGTTGAGACTTGGAGGGGCCTGGCCTTTGGTTGCGGTTTTTCCTTGGGGTGCCAGCGGCCATGGCGGGAGAGAGCGGTGCGACTCGCTTACCTTCGCCTCCCTGCTACAGGGCACAGTCATCGTAGAGCGCTGGTGGAAAGTGCCGCTGGCCGGGGAGGGAAGGAAGCCGCGCCTGCGCCGGCGACACCGGGTCTACAGGCTGGTAGAGGACACGAAACACCGGCCCAAAGCAAACCTGGAGCTCATCCTCACGCAGTCTGTGGAGGGTAAGGCCTGGCCCAAGGCACTTCACCTCAGGCTGCTTCTGTTCAGTATGGTTTTTCCTGCCATTTCTCCCCCATCTCTTTGCCCTTGCTTTCTCTACTTTGTGGAGATGATACGCTCTATGTGAAAAGAAAGCCATTAAAAGTACTGTGATGGGAGCCGGGGATTTAGCTCAGTGGTTCCCGCGCCTGCCTCACAAGTGCAAGGTCCTGAGTTCGATCCCCGGTACCAAAAAAAAAAAAAAAAAGTACTGTGATGGTGACATTGGCTCCCTACACGGAAAAATAAAATAGTGCTGCAACACGATTAACTGGAGGTAAAGGTCTGACAGTTTGTGTCACAGCGAGTGAAATCCTCTGATCGGACAACTTCTTGCTCCATATAGGGAGTACTAAGTTTCTCTGTCAGGTCCAGAGAACCAAATTATCAGTGTCCTCGGTGTTGTTCTTAATGAATATGAACTAACATCTTAGGAAGAATAAACACTGGGAAAATAAATAGTGCTTATCTCTTTGATCATCTCCTCCTCCACCTTTGGTGGTGCAGAGGATCAAACTTGGGGTCTCTGTGTCTCTCTTGTTCTCATTGGCAGAACTTGGAGTGCGGGGTGACCTGGTCTCGGTGACAAAATCTGAGGGTCGTAACAAACTCCTTCCTCAGGGACTAGCTGTATACGCATCTCCCGAAAACAGGAAGCTGTTTGAAGAGGAGAAATTGGTAAGCTCAAAGGGAAAGTCTTGGAAAAATAAAACTTTAAGGCTACTTCTAGCAACTTCCTTCACTTTGAGATTTAATTTGAAAATGAGATAGAGGATCAAAGACCAGAAATTCAAAATTCCAGCCTATGGCTACCACAGTAAGAGTTTGATATTACTTGGGACGGGGATTTAGCTCAGTGGTGTGGCCACCTGCCTTCCAAGCAGAAGTTCAATCCCTGGTACCAAAAAAAAAAGAGTTTGATATTACTTACACAGGCACATTTTTCTTTTACTAATTTTCATCTTTAACTCTTTTCTAGCTGAGACAAGAAGGAAAATTAGAGAGGCTACAGACCAAGGCAGGTGAGGCGGTAAGTAGAAACATAAGTTACCAACCAATAAATAAAGAGATTAGAATCACCAGCCTCTTCTGAGAGTCTCCCTGATTTCTTTGAAGTCTTATAATTGTATACATAAGAGTAGGAGAAAGAAGTATTGTGACTGCTCCACATAACTGGTATGGAGACTTCTTGGGAAATCATGACATGTTGGGTAAAATGCTCTAGCTTATTGCTGGAGTCCCCAGTCTAGGCATCAGGGGAGCCATGCAAAAAATGTGAGGTGAGGGCTCTGCCTTCAAGGATCCTTACAGACAAGTTGGGGACAACATACACACATTAGAAGATAATCAGTAAACTGAAGGCAGTAAATTATAAGAGTTACATGGATCATAATGGGTTTTGGGGTGGTTTTCCAGGTGGGATTAAATTAGGTCTTCTGAGGTGAGTAGCCTTTAAATAAGTCAGGAGAGTAGGAAAAGTGTTCTTAAGGGAGAGTAAATATAAGTAGAAGTTTAAGGCATGTTTAAACATAAAAAGTAGACCAAGTTGCTTAAAGCAGAGGATTTGTACAGTATATTAGGAAATTTATGGCTAAATAGAGTATTGAGACAAGATACGCAAAACATCTTGAGTTTTTAGCTAATGAATATCATTGCATTCTGTAATTAGGGAAGAGCCATTAAGGTGATATAGGATTGAAGGGCCAGAATTGGGTTTAAATAGTTTATGAAAGCCATTTCATCCTGACATATACCTGAGGCTTCCACTCTCTCTTTGCTTAGGAATAAGATACAGGTGACATGCCTCTACCAAGTATTGCTAAAGTCTCTCTGCCATATCAACCTTGAGACAATAAAAATATTCTCTTTCCCACTTATTTTTTCCCCTGTCTTGCCCGTGAGGCAGGAATTAGGCCCTTTGCCGCAACTCTCAGTCCTTGGAATTCTGTTTCCTTTCTTGACTCCCAACTAACCCAGCCTCCCTTTCTAATTCAATTTAGACAGTGAAATTTCTGAAAAGCTGTCATCTGGAAGTAGGAATGAAGGACGATGTGAAATGGGAGTTGAACCCTGAAATAGTTGCTCGTCACTTCTTCAAGAATGTGAGTTTTTTTTCAAATGTCACTGTACCCCTGAGAGTGGAAGCTGCCCCTGGGAGGATGCCAAGGGTGGTGACTAACCGGATGGAGGTTTCTATTAATTTTCTCTGACTAGAGAAAGCCAGGAGATCATGTGACTCACTGGGGAATTGTTACTTTTGTGGATGAAGTGAGTTTTGGTTTCAAGTCCCCTTTCTCTTTGTGAGTCTACTTCCCTTTCTGAGAAACTAGGGCTGAGTTTCTCTGCTGCCACCTGTGGGAGTCTGTACCATTCTGTGGGGTCAGCCGGAGTTTTATTCATCCTTGTCCAGGAAACTATAGAACCCTGTGTATTTGCTGGCCCACTGGCAGCCATGAGAGTTCGCTTGGCTGATGTTTTGCAGCTTGGTGTTGTGGTGGCTCCGCATGCCCTGAAGTTACCAGAGGAGCCAATCACACAGTTGGGCGAGTACTGGTGTGAAGTGACGGTGAGTGTCTCATATAGTTGTGCCCCTCTCTGACTGGGAGGGAATCAGCATGAAGCACTGAACTCGAGCCTGTTAGCTAATACCTATCTGACTGATCCCTAAGGATGCTTGTTTTGTGTTCAGGTAAATGGGCTTGACACTGTGAAAGTTCCTATGTCTGTGGTGAACTTTGAGAATCCCAAGATCAAAAGATACAAGGCCTGGCTAGCCAAGCAGGCTGCCAAGGGGATGGCCTCCTCCGGCTCCCCAGTGGTCTGAACCTGTTCTCCGAGACCGGAAAGCAGAAACACAGTAGCAATGGAGCAAAAGTGGGCCAGCACCTGACTTCACTCCCCTCTGACCAAATGTGCAAGTCTGGAGAGCAAGTGGAGACATCTGCCTGAACTGCATGCAAGTTTGGGACCCCCCCATAGGCCACATCCATCTTCGACAGCCATCAGCCCGGCTTTATTGGGGCACTTGTGCTCAAGAAGTACCAGACTGGATTTGATGAGCTATGTGTCAGTGGATTCAGTCTTGATGCCACTTAGCCTCTTCCTCCATCGGAATCCACTGGAACAAATGGAGGAGACGGACACTGTCTCTAGGACTTGGCTCTGTCTCATCATCTAAACTCAACATTTGTATCTCAAGCAAAAATAAAAGTCTTTGTTTTTTTAGGTGTTATTTACTTGGCTTGAGTAGACTGGAGATAAAACATTAGTGTATATCTTCTTTTTTTTCCTTTTTTTTTTTTTTGGTACCGGGGATCGAACTCAGGTCCTTGTGCTTGCAAGGCAAGCAATGGAACCACTGAGCTAAATTCCCAGCCCTAGTGTATATCTTCTTGAGCCATTGAAGTTTGCTGCTGAAAAGGAGGGAGAGGGAGAATATGTTAGCTTTGTGTATCTCACAGTTGCTGTGAGCAAATCTCTCTCCATAAGCTGCTTGTCACTGGTCTTAAACCTTGCTCTCATTAGATATATTGATAAAGTCAGCAGTGTGAACAGGTGCAGTGGGTTCTACTTCTCTAAGGAGATCTGAATTAGGCTTAAGGGTAAGTGGTAGAAAAAATGAACCTGAGATGAAGGAAATTTAAGAAGGGAACTGGTAGCTGGACACGGTGGCAATGCCTGAAATCCCAGCACTCAAGGAAGCTGTGGCTGGAGGATCAAGAGTTTAAGGCAAGGTTAAAATACGGAGGTGGGGGCTGGGGATTTAGCTCAGTGGTTCCGCCACCTGCCTCAAAAGTGCAAGGACCCAAGTTTGATCCCCGGTACCAAAAAAAAAATACAGAGGTGATGAGATCATTCTGGAATAGGTGTTTTGTCGGTATAGGAGACACAGATCTGCATAAGCCCTAGGTCCACCATTGATGCATGTCGTGCTGGGGTTACTCACATATAACACGAGGTCCTGCACTTTCGGGGGATAAAGATGAGACCACTGACTCCTTTGCTGTCCTTAACCGGCAGCTCACAGAGACTGGTTTCTGCCGATTTGAGCTCACCCGTCACTCAGCTCAGCCCAGCTAAGGAAAGAGGTCTCGTCAGTAGTTGCACTGATAATCGTGATCGTGACCCAATCACACACTTGCCAGAACTCTCATAACTCCCATAGCGTGGTACTGTTTGAGATTTGCCATTTCAGTGATTCCTACCCTATCTCTCAAAGTTTTGAAATGGAAGGCTTTCTTTTCTGGTTGTTTTGTTTTTGTTTTTTTCAGACAGGGCCGTGCTGTGTAGTCCAGGCTGGCCTTGAACTTGCTATGTAGTGGAGAACTCGAACTTGTGGCAATCTTCCTTCCTCAGCCTCCCGAGTGCTGGGATCACAGGGCCCACTTGGAAGGTTCTTTTAACAGCACTTTTCAGTATTACCACTGTCACGATGCTCTGAAATAACACAACAGGCATATTTCATACGACTAATCCCGGTGTTGAAATACTTGTAGGTTGAGTTCTTAGCAAAAACAGGTTTGTACATGGGGTTTATTGAGGGAGTACTGGATCAGCACCCATAGGGGGCAGAAGAGGTTTAGCTACAGAGAGTAGCTGGCTTGGTGCGGTGGGAACACAGTTGTCAGCTGATCCCACAGGGAACTCCGACTAGGGTGGCTCTGCAGGCTGCTCCATAGGGCAGGCAAGCTAGACTCCATAGCCCTGCTTGACTGCAAAAGGGGCATGGCCTTGGGTGAGGGACTTCAGGCAAAGGCACTTCCTGGTGGGACTGAGGCAAGAGCTGCCAGCTGTCCGCATTCTCAGTGCTTTGGTCCTGAAGGAGGGACTGGGCGGCACACCACAGACACTCCAGTTTCCTTGAAGTGCCCAGAGCCGTCTCAAGTATTGGAATGCTTACTTAGGGTTCTGACGGCCCTCTTCCTGGGAAACTTTTTAAACTGGGGCATGCCTGGAGTCCCAGCTGCTCAGGAGGCCGAAGCAGGAGAATCACAAAATCAAGTCCAGCCTGGGCAACTAAGCAAGACTGCCTCAAAAAGGGATGGGGTACAGCTCAGTGGTAGAGCACTTGCCGAGCATGCGTCAGGCCCAGATTTGCTGTAGCTGAGTCTGGGGGGTCTTCATCGCTACTCTCCATTCTGGTTTCCTTCACTGACCACCTCAGATGCGCACTTCTGCCGGTCCAGGCAGATTACTGCTTAGGTCCCTGACCGTCATGCTCTTGTCAGGCCATGGCTGCTCTTGTCCATCTGTTGAAACCTGGGGGAAGCTGGGCATGCTGGTGCAGGCCTGTACTACTCGGGAGGCTGAGGCAGGAGGATTGGTGCAAGTTCAAGGGCAGCCTGAACTACATAGTAAGACCCTGTCTCAAAGCGGCGAGGGGGACAAGAGAGGGAGGGTAGTGTGTATGTGGGGGAAAGGATCAGAATATATGTGTACCGGTCCCCCCAAGTGACTGTAACTACCATGTAGCGCAGACGTACGCTAACAAAATTGGGCGAAAGGGAAATGAGATGCAAGTGAGAGGCCTGGGGCCAAACATATTCTCTCCTGTCCCCATGGCGTGGCAGCAGCCCTACCCCGGTGATCGGGTGACTTACTCCTGCCAGGGCAGTGACTGCCTTTCCTCCCTGTCTGGTGGCAGCCACAGCTCAAAGGTTAACAAGACTTTGGTGCTGTCCTCGGAGATGCCCTGGCAGAACCTTCTGGGAACCAGCACTTTGGAATGCTCAGAGCCAGAGCATTCAGAGGGGGCAGTTCTCCAGTCAGGTCACTGGGAGTGATGCCACTGTGGGCTGCTCCTCCTTCCACTCCTTGTTTCCCAGTCCCAGGAGGTGTCCTTAGGGATATGGCACCTCTGTGGGGGCCACTGCTTGGGACATATGAAGAATCCTGGAGTGCGGTGGGCATCCTTCCAGGCTGCTCCTTAGCTGTGCCGTCAGTAGGCCGTCTATCTCATCGGGCAGCTTCTGGGCAGCAGATCCCATGTTATGTCCCCAGGCTGCACCTCTTGAGCCAAAGTAATGGACATTCCCGTGCCTGCCAGTGGGTCAGACTGCAGGCCCTCAATGGTGCAGCTGAGGCTTTGCAGGAGGGAGAGGCAAACCCAACCCAAAATAAACATCAGTTCACACCCAGGACGGAACACTGCCCCTTCCACGCAGTGACAAGCCACCCAGTGGAGGGGTGACTTTCCGTTTCGCTCTCTTGCTGGCAAGGTGGCCATCCACACAGCAGGGGTTAGGTCGACCTCAGTCAGACCAGGAGGGGCCTGTACACACTTCCACCGTGGCCCTCCACTCAGGCCCCTTCGCCAGCACTGAGATACCAGCCACAGGCCAGCTGACGTCACCAGGCCCTCAGCCTGTGGTAAGGTGGTGCCTTTTCTGGGGTAGATGAGATATTCACCATCGGGCACCAACACACAACACAAACAGGCACACTAGGGACCTTCTCAGACTACCTTGCTTTCAATTAGCAATAATCACACCTCAGATAAACCTCACTGCCTGTGATACTGCCACTGGGCAAAGCTGACTTCCTTGTTCTTAATTTGCCATTTTTCCATCCAGGCTTCTGACCAACCAGCCGAGTCGAGTCATTCACTGTTGCCCATTAGCCTATGCAGGTATCCTTGCTTCAGGCAGGTACGCTGCATCTTTCGAGGCCACCTCCGAGTGGGGCCGTGGTCCAGCACCTGGTTCTCTGCTTGCTTCCACCTACTGAGAACCCTGCACTAACCAAGCTCATGCTCCTCTGATCCACAGGATGTCAGCGTAAATGAGGGAGAAGCACCAGGGCAACAGTGTAGGTGACAGGAAACGTGGTCACCTGTGAGCCCACTTTACCCTTCATCCCTGCTTGAGCCAGTTCCACACATGACACCTTCATCTTACGAAGAATGGTCCACGTGTCCTCCCGCCGGGGCTTGCCATGAACAGTATGTGGTCTTTTCCCACTGCTGGTACCTCTAGTAGAATACCAAGCGGCAGGGCCAGGGCCACTTCTACTACAGGCTGGACCTGTGACAGAGCTTTCTTCCTGCTCTGGCCCCACTTGGAGTTGGCACCTGATATTTGGGTCCCAGGAGCATTCCCGAGTGTGGAATGCACTCCCTCGAGAGCCCGGGAGGTTTGCCAGGCTCTGCAGCCCCTTCTTAGTAACGAGATGCAAGTGAGATGCAAAACTTCTCTTTATGTGAGAGGGAGCGTGCTGATGTGCTCCGGAGCACTGGACTCAAAGACAGCTGAGCGGCGCGCCAGGATGCTGGACCCTGCAGGGTTTGCGTGTGGCATTCGAAGAGCATGCATCCTCCTGAGGCCTCCAGCTTACTTGCTGTTCCTTGCTCATCCTGTTCTTTCACCACCTTGGCATCATAATGTGATATCCCGTGGGGCATCCACATGGCCCCATCCTCCAGACCACACCGCAGCAGAGGGTGGGATATTTTACGTGGTCCAGGGCAGGACTCACTGTGTGCTGTTTCTCATCTCAATAGTGAAAGAAGAATTTTATGATTTTTTTTTCTTGAGGCAGGGTCTCACTATGTAGTTCAGGCTGGCCTTGGACTTCACTATGTGGCCCAGGCTGACTTTACACTCTCAGCAATCTTCCTGCCTCAGTCTCCCAAGTGCTGGGATTACAGGTGTGCGGCACCATGCCCGGCTGATCTTCCTTTCTTATAGAGATGAAAAAGAATGCATTTCTGAGGTCAACAGGTACCATGTTCTGTGGCTTTCTTTACCTTCTCTAACAAAGACAGTGCATTTGGGACCATTTGGGACGGCAGATAGAATCAACCTTAATCGCTGTTGCAGCGATCTGCCTTTCTCCAGGATCCCTTTGGTTTTAGCCAGGGCCAGACTGCTGAAGTAAATGGCATTATGAGGCCCCCAGCCCACATCCTTTAGATCTTCAAAGGGAACGTGGAAGTCTGGGCCCAGTGGCACACATCTGTAATCCCAGCACTGTGGGAGGCCGGGCAGGAACATCGAAAATTGGAGCCCAGCCCAGGCAACTTACGGCCCTGTCTCAAAAATAAACATTTAGAAAGGGCTGGGGATGGAGCTCAGTGCGAGGGCTCTAAATTCAATCTCTAGGATTGGAGAAAGGGGGAGGGGTTCGTGTGGTACTTTTTTCTCTTGGCCCTTAATAGAGGAGGCCGTTTCGGGGGCTTCATGTTGGTCTTCCGAACAAACAAACCTATCATCACAACTCTGCCTCCCAGACTAA